AGAAGCAGACCCATATTGTGGTCCTGCCCAGAGAGTCCCACATTAACAAATTTTACGGGGACGGTGATCCAGCTTTAACCAACAGGTTCAGTGAAGAGGTCAAAGCGGCCTGGGCCTCGAGACACATGTCACCAGAGGAAAGATTAAGACTGCTGATGGGCAGTATAGGAGAGACGGTTAGGGCAGAGGTCAAATGCCACGATAAAACCATCCAATCAGATCCAGATAAGGTGCTGGATCTAATTATGGAGACCTTTGGGGAGAGACGGTCGGGATCGCAACTGCTATCGGGGTTCGTAGGCTTAAAGCAGAGAATGGCGGAGAGTGCGATGGGGTATTCACACCGAATGAACAGGGCCTTTGATTCGGTAAAGGGCAAAACACCTGACATTGATGTACGCCTACTGAGGGACCATTTCATCGAGGGGCTAGCAACCCCGATCTTAAGGAGAGAGTTGAAAGAGGAGGTCCACAAAGACCCGCAGTTGACCTTCCTTCAGGTCAGGAACTCATTGATCCGCAGGTCCGAGGATGAGGACCAATCGAACTGTTCGGTGGACAAAGTCTCTGTGCCGGAACAGAAACAATCCCCACCCACAGGGACCGGCACGGTGGAAACCATGATGGCTCGACTGTTGGCCCACCTGGATAAGGTTGACCAACGATTGGAGAGGTTAGAAGGCAGGTCAACAGCTGAGAATCAGGGCAAAAACGGGACAAAACAGGGACGGGTTGGACAGCCGCGACCTGCCGGTCCATCGCTCCGGTGGACGGCTGACGGTCGACCAATTTGCTGGTCCTGCTCACAACCCGGACATATGGCACGGTACTGTCCGGTAAAACGATCGCCCTCTGTAAGGCAGGTTAGGGCTACAGAGCGGCGAGGTTATGGCGTAAGAAACAAAAGGAAACAAACAATGAAAGAGTCTCAAACAAGACTCGAAGAGAAATTGTCAGATATTGAAAAAATGAACTGTGAAATGAACTTGAATGTTGAAAAGTTTCAAGTGAACAATTTGTTGGCTAAGAAAAATGATGATAAGGAAGAAATTGGTAGACTTAAGAATGAGATCTCAAGGTTAACCATGAAACTGGATAGGGAAAGTTCATGCAAATTAAAAGCACAGGAGAAATGTTCATCTTTAGAGTGTCTGTTATCTGAAGAAGAAAATAGAAAATTTGTACCTGGTTTTGCAAAAATTGCCGCACCATTGCATGACTTGGTAAACAAAATGACAAAGAAACACAGTAAGGAGAAAAAGAAAGGTAAAACACAACTGATAGGTGAATTATGGACTGATGAATGCCTGAACTCGTTTAAGCTCTTGAAAAAGGCTTTGACAGAGACGCCGATATTAGGATACGCGGACTTTGACAAACCATTTCGGCTAGAAATTGACGCCAGCTCTAAAGGTCTGGGAGCTGTGCTATCACAACAACAAAAGCAAGGTTTCAGGGTTATTGCGTATGCCAGTCGAGCTCTGAAGGAATCAGAGAAGAACATGACAAATTACAGCGCCATGAAACTAGAACTTTTGACATTAAAATGGGCTGTGACTGAAAAATTCAGGGACTATCTATTAGGTGCTAAATGTGTGGTATACACTGACAATAACCCCTTGAGTCACCTAAAGACAGCAAAGTTGGGATCAATCGAACAGCGATGGGCAGCAGAATTGGCACTCTTTGACCTGGAGATAAAATATCGCCCGGGGCGGTCCAATGGCAATGCGGACGCCTTATCAAGGAATCCTTACGAGAGACCGGGCGATGAGGAAGAAACGCTGACAGGAATATGTGAGGTCAGAGCGTCAACAGATATCCCTCACGGGGTGCAAGTGAGGCAAAACGGACAGACCGGGGTGGAGCACATATCCACAGAGCCCGGACTTATGGACATTAGTGATTTTAATTGCCTTAATCACAAAGACATAAGAGATGCCCAGAGAATGGATAGTGGCTTACAGCCGCTGTTGAAACACGTCCAGGAACAAAAATTCCCAGGAAGAAGGGAAAGAGAACAATTTGGTCGAGAAACAAAGAAAATACTGAGTCAGTGGGACCGTCTCAGTATAAAGGATGGTGTTCTCATGCGGAGAATTCATGACCAAATTGATGGGACAATACACCAGGTGGTGGTGCCTGGACAATTACGAGAAGAAGTGCTAAGGTTGGCACATGACAGGGCAGGACACCAGGGTCAGGACAGGACGCACAAAATATTACGACGGAGGTGTTACTGGCCCAATATGGAAATGGAGGTCAAACGCCATTGTGAGGCTTGTGTGAGGTGTCAGCATGCGAAAATGCCAGTTGTCAAAATGAGACAGCCATCAGGACACCTATTAGCGACAAAACCACTAGAGATTGTGGCTATGGACTTTACGTCGTTGGAGCAATCATCGGATGGGACGGAACATGTGTTGGTAATGACTGATGTATTCACCAAATGGACTGTGGCGGTGCCCACACGAGATCAGACTGCCAAAACAGTGGCAAAGGTCTTAATAGAACATTGGTTCATCAAATATGGCATACCAAGACAATTACACTCTGACCAAGGAAGGGCCTTCGAGTCAGAAGTAATTAACCAACTGTGCAGCCACTACGGGATCAACAAATCTAGAACAACCACATTTAATCCGAAAGGAAACGGACAGTGCGAGCGGTTCAACCGCAGCATGCATGATTTGCTGCGTACCCTAGAACCTGAACAGAAAAAACGTTGGCCTGATTTTCTCCCAGAGTTGGTATATCTATACAACTGCACCCCCATGCCACAACCGGCTTTTCGCCACACATGTTGCTGTTCGGACGGGAGGCTCGACTCCCCCTTGACTTATTCCTAGGAAAAAAGGAGAGTATGACTGGCTCATACACTGCACTGGAATATGTGAATGAACATATGAGACGAATTAGAGAAATGTACAGGGTAGTACAGGAAAGACTAGAACATGAAGCACGGCGAAGGGAACCGCCGGTACAGACAAAGGACCCGCCACTCAAACTGAACGACAGGGTATTACTGCGTAGCCACCCGTTAGGCAGAAACAAAATCCACGACCTCTGGGGACAGGAGATATGGCAAGTCGTGGAGATGCCTAAAGTAGCAGGTGGCCCCTTTAAGATAAGACCCATCGATCACACCAAACCGGATCGGTGGGCGAATATTGCTCAATTAAAGAAATATTGTCATAGTCAAGAAGAGCAGTTACACACAAGGAAACCCAAGACAATTAGGGAACCGGAAACTATAACGGAAATTCACATACCCATCCCGGAACCATGTCACCATCAACAGCGCAACAGCGATACACAAGGGGAGGATACCGGCAACAAGGAGGATCCCGGTCCTTCCAGAAGCAGAGAGACAGTAGACCATCAGATAAGTGGTCCGCGGAGAAGTTTGAGAAACAGAAAGAATACGAAATTTTTTGTCAGCAACCATCAATTCTTTCATGGTCGCGCTGGTATGAGAACAGACTGTTCAAAAAGTCATAAAAGTGAACTGGTGAAGGCACCAAACGAAAAAAGGTGGATGTGAATTCTAGAACTGTTTTGTGTCTGAGGAAGATGATGTAGACACATTTGATATGTGAAATAGGGATAACGGTCAATCTTATACGAATGTGACGACATCGACAGTGAGTGGAACAATAAATTTTTTTACGGTGGTGCGATTGACTTTGAAGGACTGCACCTGCCAAGCGTTGTTTGTGGTTGATAACACACAAAAAAAGGCAGGGGTGGATGTAACTAGGGGAAGTTACCAGAGACATAAGAACGCAGTACAGCGCTGTCAACTTTGACACGACTGATGCAATAACGCAGGTGTTGGCTGATAACGATCAGAAAGCCAAGGCGTAGTATCTTGGGAAGCGATACGATAAGAACGCAATACGGTCTGTCAACTTTGATGGGACAGGATGCAGATGGCTTATTAAATCGGACTGTACGACAGAAGCGGCGTAATTAACATTCTGATGCAACGATTAGAATCGATTACGATTACGATTATGATAGAACCGAATACGATTACGAATACGAAGGGGATATATAGGAAGGCGACGGCTGAGCTGGCTCTCTCTCTCTCGATCAGTCAGTCAGTGTGGCAGTATCAAGTTGGTTATTGAACGGGTTAGCCGTATTGTGTTAAGAAGGACGATAGACATGTGCATTCAGTTATGTGAAGACTAGTGAGGACTGTTGGGGGTCAGTTGATTCCGACTATTATTGTGAAGCATTTCTTTTGATTCATTATATTATTGTGAAACATTTCTTTGATTCATGTAATAAAAGGATCAATAGTGAACCTGCATCTTCGAGTATCTATACTGTGGTCGATGTTGTATAGAATGAGTGGTTAGACTCGTTAACATTTGGCACTACAGGCAAATAGACTCGTTACATATAATATATATATATATATATTATATATATATATATATATATATATATATATATATATATATATATATATATATATATATATATATATATATATATAATTACAACCATAATTGTTTCTTCTTTCCTGATCACGATATCACAGAGTTGTAGTTACACTGAATCTACAGTAAGTGAAGGAAAATGTGCGCCTACTTGAGGTTGCGAAAGCTTCAGAGGCGTAGCGAGAGGGAGGAGGGGCGGGGGGTTACATATGTCCCCGGGTGCCGACCCTAAGGGGCGCCAAAATGGGTTGGAAAAAAAAATTAAAAGCTAATTTAAGCTGCAGTTTTGCATTATAAATATAAAAAAATATTTGGGGAGAGGGCACCAAATTGAAAGTTTGTTCCCAGATGCCGGGAAGGGTCGCTACGCCTCTGAAAAGCTTGGAGTAAACACAGTGGTTAAAATATAATGTTATACATTGACTTGACGCATGTTAACGAACCTACCCCACAGCAACTAGGCAACGTGTCATTAACGTGTTGCTAGCAATTAAAGTAAATCTTCATGCACTGATGGGTAAAACGCCGTCTGTCTGATTAGGGAGTCCAGGCCGTAATTGTGTACAGTCCGTGGTCTAAAAATAGAACTAGAGTTTTTTAAAAAGTTGCGTGGTGTGTTGGATGCAGTTATATTTATTTTAACTAAACTAGGCCTAGTGTGTTGATAAGACATAAACAATAATCAGACAGGGTGATAATACTGTATCTGATCTCATCGGAGCAGACGATTGTATTGACAGCAGACGATTGCGTTACATTAAAACGGATATTAAAAATAGTGGTGTAATTTTTTTTTTACGAAACAAGTCTGATATTTATTTGTTTTTAATTTTTAAAAATTCATAGAAACGAAAAAAAAAACGACAACAGCTTAGCTTGATGACTTTTCTCATTAAGAAAAGTAAATTAGGATCGTTAAAGGAAAAATTCAAAATTTGAGCCGACCTGGTGTGTAGCTGAGTCCAGGTTGTGGCAGTTGTTGGGGAGATGGGAAGACGTAAGACACGTTGGGACTCCAACAGTTATGGGATTTACATCATTGGTGAACAGCTGCGGTGAGTTACACATCAACAACTTCATATCAGTAGCACATTCATACGCATATGTATATGTATACACACACGCACTATATATATATATATATATATATATATATATATATATATATATATATATATATATATATATATATATATATATATATATATATATATATATATATATATATATATATACAGAATATATATATATATATATATATATATATATATATATATATATATATATATATATATATATATATATATATATAGTGCAGTTAGAATAGTGTACCACAAAAACTGATGCTATAAAATAAAGGCAAAATGCAAGCAATGCATTCCATTATTATAGCAATCGAGCTTTGGATGGCTTGTAACGTTATGTTACAAAATTATTATGAAAATTAAACACATTGTAAAAAATGATATTGATGATGAGGGTGTTCGTATGTGCATTATCAAATAACCTGTCAGGCTAATAAAGATAATCAATACAAACAACACACTACAATGTTTTGACTTGGTTATAGGATATGAGCTTGTATGTAATGGTCTCTCTTTTCACTCTTTCTCTCTTTATATATATGTAGGCCAGTATATATATATATATATATATATATATATATATATATATATATATATATATATATATATAGACAAACCTTTTAAAATTAGAAATTAAAGTCTTTTTCCTATCTTTTATTGTAGACAGTTTCAAATTTTATCACTTGTTGCTGATTCTCAAATTAGAAGAACACATTTTAGATATCAAATCTCAGTGAATTATATTTTTTCCATTAGAGAGCAGATGCACAAGCAAGGTCAGGTCAAGGACAGACGGTACCACCTGAGGAAGTACAAGAAATGCTTCATTGGGCGTGACGCCATCGACTGGATCCTCAAGATGCACCACGCCCCCTCGCGTGACGAGGCGGTGCGGGCCATGCAAATTTTACAGAAAAGTGGCGTCATACATCATGGTTAGAAAAATATTCAAATTTTACAGAAAAGTGGGGTTATCCATCACGGTTAGAAAAATATTCAAATTTTACAGAAAAGTGGCGTCATACATCACGGTTAGAAAAATATTCAAATTTTACAGAAAAGTGGCGTTATTCATCACGGTTAGAAAAATATTCAAATTTTATAGAAAAGTGGGGTCATACATCACGGTTAGAAAAATATTAGTCAAATTTTACAGATAAGTGGCGTCATCACCACGGTTAGAAAAATATTCAAATTTTACAGAAAAGTGGCGTCATACATCATGGTTAGAAAAATATTCAAATTTTACAGAAAAGTGGCGTTATTCATCACGGTTAGAAAAATATTCAAATTTTATAGAAAAGTGGGGTCATACATCACGGTTAGAAAAATATTAGTCAAATTTTACAGATAAGTGGCGTCATCACCACGGTTAGAAAAATATTCAAATTTTACAGAAAAGTGGCGTCATACATCATGGTTAGAAAAATATTCAAATTTTACAGAAAAGTGGCGTTATTCATCACGGTTAGAAAAATATTCAAATTTTACAGAAAAGTGGCGTCATACATCATGGTTAGAAAAATATTAGTCAAATTTTACAGAAAAGTGGCGTCATTCACCACGGTTAGAAAAGTAGGGCTCTGGCCGTAGGGGGCGCCAAAATGGGTTGGAAAAACAAATTGGAAGTTTGAGGGGGGTGAGGGTGCAAATCGAAAGTTTTGAGGGGGGTGCAAATCGAAAGTTTGAGGCGGGGGTGGAAATCGACAGTTTGTCCCCGGGGGCACGAAAACAATTGCGGGGGGGGGGGGGGGGGCGGGCGCTTTTAATAAGTTTTGCCTAGGGCGCGAAATAACCTGACCACACCTCTCCATCGGACTCATTATAGAGTGGCTCTCTTTATGTGTAGAATGTCACAAAATTTCCAATTCTTTCGTCTTCCATAGTGAGTCAGCAAGTCTATCTTGACATTCACATATAGATCTAGCTGTTATAGATACGTTACTTTTTAAAAAAAATTTTACCAACGACCCAATACTAGAATCGTATCAAATATAGATTATAGTCCACGAATTGTTAGGTATTTATTTCTTATCTGACAATGTTCATATCAGACATGTAGTCTCCGAGCAAAGGGGACCTCGGATCGTTAGGATTAGTGCTTTAATGCACTCTGTTTATATGTCCTTCTTCAAAACCTACTTTGTATTTTTAAATTTTACATTCAGGGTTTAACACAGTCTAATTGTTAAACCCTTTACAACTTAATATATCACAAACATATGTATTTGACATTCAGGGCTTTACATAGTGTAATTGTTACATCTTAATATATCACAAACATCACTGTACATTATAATTGTTTCAAAGTAATGTATGTATAAGATATGCACATAACAAACCCCCACGCCAGACAAAAAATGCACGCATACCCTACAAACCCGCACATTACGCCCATACCCATATAATACACAAACCTACACATTACGCGAATACATACTCATATACGCATTACCTTTCACCAACACGCACGAGCCGTATTGACTAACAAGACTTAATAAACGGATGGTTCATGCACGTGCATCTCAGGCTGGAGAGGTTATGAAAGGTCAGTCTCTGATAACTACTCACTCCCTATCAGACATCGACAACCACACGTCAATTAACAAACACCGATAGCCACTCATTCTTCATATGTTAATGACCACACCAGAAGCGTAGTGAGGGGGGGGGGGCGGGGGGGGGAACATATGTCCCCGGGCGCCGACCTTAGGGGAGGGCGCCAAATTGAAAGTTTAAGGGGGGGGTGTGCAAATGAAAAGTTCGAGGGGAGGGGCGCAAATCGAAAGTTTGAGGGGGGTGCAAATGAAAAGTTCGAGGGGAGGGGGTGCAAATCGAAAGTTTGAGGGGGGGGGGGGGAGTGCAAATGAAAAGTTCGAGGGGGGGTGCAAATCGAAAGTTTGTCCCGGTCGACGGGAAGGGTCGCTACGAATCTGGACCACACGTAAAAAAAATACAACACTACACACGTTGTGGGGGCAGGACATTAACCCTCCCCCTCTCTCTACCCTCCTCCAGTCAATTACCCACTGCCCTCCCGAAAACTGAAGTAGGACATTACTCTTTATCGATTACAAACTTACCCTGAGACCTAATCCTAACAATAAACTTTCCATAACCGTAATGTAATCTTAGAGTTAAGGTTAGGACTAGGGCAGGGGTCGGCAACCTGCGGCTCGCAAGCCGCATGCGGCTCTTTTGATATCAAGATGCGGCTCTCTAGCTCTTTGCACAAATACTAATAATCTTCATAAAAAAAATATTTGAAATAAAAAAATGTTAGTGGCTCTTTAAAACCAGGGAAATTTTAAAAATTGTAACTTTTGGCTCTTCCGCTTCAAAAGGTTGCCGACCCCTGGACTAGGGGGATGGCTTGTACATTTTTAACAGGAGACAAGCATATTATTTAGCAAATTATATAACGCGTAGGGAAAAAATAAATACGATTTTCTTTGATCAAAGTCGACCCATTTTACTCATGCATTTAATAGAAAATCATGTTTCTTAATGTACCGGGAACAGGGGGTGGGGTATTACAGTAGGGGGGGGGGTTGACCTGGGGGGGGGGAATGACAGGGAAGTGGGTAGCGATACGGGGGTGTATTTATGTAATTGAGATCGGGTTAATGTCATAGACCTCACGCCGAATCAGACACCCTTTACCATGTCTATATACCCACTCTCTTATAAACCACCACTCCCCCTCCCCCTGCCTGTTCCAGTGGTGGACGAACACGAGTTCCGGGACCAGCACCTGTTCTACAGATTCACCTACGACGACAACACCTATCGTCTGGACAAGGAGCTTTCTTTCTTCTACCGGGGCGTCGAGATCTACAACAAGTAAACAACTTTTTTATAGCTCACTCTACAACAAATTAATCTACAACAAGTAAACAACTTTTTTATAGCTCACTCTCCAACAAGTAAACAACTTTTTCTATAGCTCACTCTACAACAAATTAATCTACAACAAGTAAACAACTTTTTCTATAGCTCACTCTACAACAAATTAATCTACAACAAGTAAACCACTTTTTCTATAGCTCACTCTACAACAAATTAATCTACAACAAGTAAACAACTTTTTCTCATAGCAACAACTGATTCATCTACAACAGATTTGTCCCGGTGAAATACATCTAAAGCCGATTAAACTAAATTAGATGTTTAACAAAAATAAATAGAGGTCACATACTTCTTCACCTAGGCGTATGAAGGGATGGTGTGGTCAGCACTATGCCCAGCCGCCTTTACTTTCCATATCGAAACTTTGGTACAGAACTGGGTGATATCAGGAACGTTCTACAGTCACAAGCCCGAACCGAGATCCAAACTCGAGACCTTTGGGGTTGTAGTCAAGCGCTCTACCACCCCACCTAGCCGTCCTATATAGCCTAGGCTCATTAAAAAATATATTTTCCAGTTATCGTTGTTTTTCATTCAATTTCTACTTTATAATTTCGTTAGGTTGGTTAGGTGTTCATTTCAATGTACTAAAACAGTTTTTCATATTTTCTTGTTGAATTAAACACATTACAAAAAAAAACCGTAACTGTAACTTGTGTTCCCAGGATGAGGTCTAGCACGGAGGGTGTGATGAGGGACTTCTACCACAAGGGGATGCTGTACTCTGAAGCTTTCTATGGCAGCGATGCCGTGGACTTTATCCTCATCAGCGAGGCTGACCAGGAGAGGAGTCTTGTGGTCAACGAGTTTAGAGATTTGTTGGAGAGGGATATCATCAAACACGGTAGGTGGTTGTATGGTGTTTTAGAGATTTGTTGGAGTAAATGGTGTTTTAGAGATTTGTTGGAGTAAATGGTGTTTTAGAGATGTGTTGGAGTAAATGGTGTTTTAGAGATTTGTTGGAGTAAATGGTGTTTTAGAGATTTGTTGGAGTAAATGGTGTTTTAGAGATTTGTTGGAGTAAATGGTGTTTTAGAGATTTGTTGGAGTAAATGGTGTTTTAGAGATTTGTTGGAGTAAATGGTGTTTTAGAGATTTGTTGGAGTAAATGGTGTTTTAGAGATTTGTTGGAGTAAATGGTGTTTTAGAGATTTGTTGGAGTAAATGGTGTTTTAGAGATTTGTTGGAGTAAATGGTGTTTTAGAGATTTGTTGGAGTAAATGGTGTTTTAGAGATTTGTTGGAGTAAATGGTGTTTTAGAGATTTGTTGGAGTAAATGGTGTTTTAGAGATTTGTTGGAGAGGGATATCATCAAACACTGTAGGTGGTTGTATGGTGTTTTAGAGATTTGTTGGAGTAAATGGTGTTTTAGAGATTTGTTGGAGTAAATGGTGTTTTAGAGATTTGTTGGAGTATATGGTGTATTAGACATTTGTTGGAGTAAATGGTGTTTTAGAGATTTGTTGGAGAGGGATATCATCAAACACGGTAGGTGGTTGTATGGTGTTTTAGAGATTTGTTGGAGTAAATGGTGTTTTAGAGATTTGTTGGAGTAAATGGTGTTTTAGAGATTTGTTGGAGTAAATGGTGTTTTAGAGATTTGTTGCAGTAAATGGTGTTTTAGAGATTTGTTGGAGTAAATGGTGTTTTAGAGATTTGTTGGAGTAAATGGTGTTTTAGAGATTTGTTGGAGTAAATGGTGTTTTAGAGATTTGTTGGAGCAAATGGTGTTTTATAGATGTGTTGGAGAGGGATATCATCAAACACTGTAGGTGGTTGAATGGTGTGGAATCGCATTGGAGATAGGAATGTCACTTAAAGTACGGCAAAGTTTTAGCTCGGTATCGTTATCTGTGAAAACGATTCTAATTATCTCACTGTGTTAGTCATGTATCTATCTTATCAAGAAAATACATGTAATATACTTTTGAATTAATTTTTTAAAAATGTTATGCCCCCCCCCCCCCCTCCTTCGTACACCTACCATCGGAACCGGATATCCCACACAACAGTCACAGACGACTACCATTTCAGCGACGATCGTCTGATATACGAATTCAACCTTGACCTCAACAAGCCGTGCCTGCTACAGGATGTCCTCGACATGACCCCCATCAAGAAGAGCAGCGAGGGGGAGAGAACGGAGGCTGGGGACGGGGATGACAGAACGTCTGACTCTGGGCACGGGATTCCGGGTGAGCACCTGCTTAACTGAAAATGAGCGCTTCTATTATAAAATAAGGATATAAATAAAACGCCTTAAATGAATCAAAGATCCATTACTTTCAAAATATCTATATATATAATTCTCTTCTGGGAGCCGTTAGAAAACAAGCTGCAAGCGCCTCCTTGCAGTTCCCTCTCTTTCTCTCTATCACTACCACCCCCACCCCACATTGTCTGGCGAGCTGTGGTCACGCTGTTTACATTTTACAATCATAGAGACGGGTTTGGTGACGGCTATTAGGGGCAGATAATTTAGTTTGAGACATTTTAAACTTAGAGGAGGTAACTAAGAGGAGGCTGCTTTCACGGGGGTGGGGGGGGGGGGGGGGGGGGGGGGGGTTAGTGTTTTAAGCGAATATTTTCAGTGGCAGCATTGGTACTGTCGAATTCACAAATTATAAATTACTAAAAAGTAGAAAAAAAAACCCAACTAAATAGCGGCGTATGATACGCAGCGGGTCGGCTCGTTACTAATAAAACTAACACTGATTTTAGTTATTACTATTAGTGTCATTTGAGAATAAGCCCCCCGAAAGTATTACTTTAAAGTATATTATACCTAAATGCTTTTCTCCATATTTACTCAAATCAGTGTCGTCGCTAGATCGGGTGTCACCTGATGCGGTCCGCAACCCCCCCCCCCCCCCCCACGCCTCGCGACGCCTCTTATTCTAATGAAATCATACACGTCATCGTGTTGATGTGCAGATTAGAAAGTGTAACATCACCACGTCACACCGTTGTATGTAACAACGTGATTAAAAAAAAACTTAATCACATTTTTAAAGACGTATATAAACTGTAAGCCTATTCGGCCAATGCACTAAATGATGACCAAGGTCGGTAAATATTTTGAAAGAGAAATCGCTGTTTCAAATACTGCGCGTGATTTTATAAAATATCTATTTTCTGGATTATCTTTCTTTATTTGAATAGATTATTTCCCTTTAAAACCGATCAAGCCTGCTTTCGATGGGGGAGGGGGGGGGGGGGCAAATTGAAACATCTGTTGCACGTTTTAATTATGTGACTTAATGTCGTCTGCACGTGTTACGGTCCTGACGACAACACAGAACGTATGGGAGGAGAGTAAAGCTTACAGAGACCCAACAGTAAACCTTTCAGAGGCCTAACAGTAAACCGATCAGAGACCTAACAGTAGACCTTTCAGAGACCTAACAGTAAACCTTTCAGAGACCTAACAGTAGACCTTTCAGAGACCTAACAGCAAATGTTTTAGAGACATAACACTTTACAACACAGCGCGATACATTCAATAATAAAGTTTTGTTAACGAATTGCGTATTTGTTCAAATCGCTTTGCTAACAAAATTTTTTTTTGTATAATGGAAAATCATTTCTAAACAGCTTTTCGTGTGTATCCCATTGCAGTTCAAGTACATTCGTTGCTCAATTTTTCCACATGATAGATTTAAAAAAATCTAGATCTAGAAGCATTCTAAACTCGTATTAAATTGCATCCGTCTGTTGTAGTTTTACTTAACACTTAAGTTTGTTCATTAGCAATAAGATTACAATTTTAAGGCTGTATTTAACACTGAAAAGGAAATTTTTTAAAATATTTCGACCTATTTTATTTTGATTTTTTTTTGACACGCATTTTTTCAATATTATTATTATCTAATGTATCCTAACATAAAATATTTAAAAAGTAAAAATTAAAAAGAAAAAGATTGTCAAAGAATGTTTATGATGGTATCAGGGTTTATATATTTGTATCAGGCCTACCTGCTAGAAGAATAATTAAAGTAAAGCTCTAACTCTAAACAATTACCCGTATGTAAATCAGCATGGATAGTTATTCATTATCGATTAGTTACCGCTATTCAACTTTAGCCTATTGGTGGATGAATCTAGAGACATGTGCACGTATGTTATTATCCAGCTCATTTCTCAGTAGACCAACACTAAATAGTATGTGGATATGTAACTGCTGTGTTTTTGTCGTTATATCACGTGATAGCCCCTTATGGGCGCGTGTAAGTTTCAACTTTACTCCATTTAGATTGATTTACTTACTAATACCCAGCTTTATCTGATGAAGTTATTTTGTGTTTATATATCTTATATGTATGTAGGTTATACACACATGCATACATACACACACACACACATATATATATATATATATATATATATATATATATATATATATATATATATATATGTATATATATATATGTATATATGTATATATATATATATATATATATATATATATATATATATATATATATATATATATATATATATATATATCTAATATATAAAGCTCAGTTCTGTATGTGGCGGACAGAAATGTGCATCGTTGGCATTTCTACGGATTCAAGTGTTAGATCAATTATCGTGCGCAGTCGTCTAAATTTACGAGTCAAAAAATTACCATTGAAAGTTTTTAAAAACAATTTTCATTCTATTTACTTAGAAGAATAATTTTCAATTATGAACACGACATAAAATTTTTAAAAAGTGTATCGACGTTTATAAAATTTCTAAAATTGTGTCGGAAATGTATTGACTGCACGGTTACTTCCCTTTAATAAAAAAAATTCTTAAGAAGAAAGAATTTACATTTTATTACTTTGTTTTTGGTGTTAAGAAAAAAAAATAATTACATAATTAGCGGGGATTGATTAAGTGCAATGTAGTTAGGTATTTTTAATACTGCCTTTTATTTATTCTATACACTGAACATACTGTTGAATAATTATTTTTTTTAAAAATCAATAACATTTAATAAGCCAGGTCCTACAAATCATATACGTTTATTTCTTTTCATTTACGGATAAGCTTGGAGTATTATCATTTTTGTTCACTAAATTGAAACAGGCGCGTCCGCCGGCGCCCCTGCACGGTTCGATTTGGCACCCTGGGCTATCATGTGAGCGCTATGCTGCATAATTTTGTTTTGAACAGTGCGATAGACTATGGATAAGAAAGGTTACTATAGTCTTTAAGTGAATCAAATCCGGGCGTCCTCCGGCACCCCGACAGGGTGCTATTTGGCGCCCCGGGCCTTCCGGTGTACGCTAGGGTATCTACGTTCGCGTGAGTTCAAAAGACTATCGATAAGTTATGTACTATAGTCGTTTACCAAGTTCAATCAGGTGGTGACGTCATGGTGCGTCCTCTGGCGCCCAGAAAGGGTGCTATTTGGGGTCCCGGGCCTCCCGTGTTCGGTTTCGCGCCTACGTTCATTAAAGTGAGTGCAAAAGACTATGAATAAGTTGGGGTACTATAGTCGTTTATTAAGCTGAAGCAGGCGATTCAGCCCCGTGAGCACTTTGCGTTTATGTTCGCGTTAGTATTTTCTTTGTGTTTAGGTTGGGTTTGCGTTAGTGGTTGCGTTTTGATTTGGTTCGTTTTTGTTTTCTTTTTTCGTTTTCGTTTGTGTTTTATTTTCTTTGGGTTTGTGTTTGTATTTGTGTTTGTGGTTGGTTTTGCGTTTGGATTTGGTTTGTTTTCGTTTGTTTTTGCTTTTGTGTTTTTTTCTTTGGGTTTGTGGTTGGTTTTGCGTTTGGATTTGGTTTGTTTTCGTTTGCTTTTTCGTTTGTGTTTTTTTCGTTGGGTTTGTGTTTGTGTTTGTGGTTGGTTTTGCGTTTGGATTTGGTTTGTTTTCGTTTGCTTTTTTGTTTGTTTTTTTCTTTGTGTTCGTATTGGTGTTTGTGTTTGTGGTTGGTTTGTTGTTAGGTTTTTGTTTTCGTTTGTATTGGTAATTGTGTTAGCTTTTATTTGCGTTTTGTTATTTTGGTTTTGGTTGGTTTTAGTTTGGGTGGGCAATGCCGGGTTTATGATGATAACTAAACATACACGTAATGGTCTTTAACAGAAAGGTTTTTCACAGAAGCCAGAGCAGGGCCTGGCCGGGACGGCTAGTATATATATATATATAATATTCTAAGGTTACAAACCCAATGGGTTATAGAGATCGAATCCTGTAGATCACAATGTGATGGCGGTGGTTAATATGGCAACTCTAATGCGTATATGTCGCAGAAGGCTATGGGGAATGGGTATTGAATGGGCTGACCAATCATAGTACAGTCCGTAAAAGTAGAAGCAGATAGTTTCTACTACATCTGTTCTACTGTTCACATCGAGGAGAAAGAGAGGGGAAATTTAGAGAGGGGGAAGTTATAAAGAGAGGGGAAAGTTATAAAGAGAGGGGAAAGTTAGAAAGAGAGGGGAAAGTTAGAAAGAGAGGGGAAAGTTAGAAAGAGTGGGGAAAGTTATAAAGAGAGGGGAAAGTTATAAAGAGAGGGGAAAGTTATAAAGAGAGGGGAATGTTATAAAGAGAGGGGAAAGTTGTAAAGAGAGGGGAAAGTTATAAAGAGAGGGGAAAGTTATAAAGAGAGGAGAATGTTATAAAGAGAGGGGAAAGTTATAAAGAGAGGGGAAAGTTAGAAAGGTGGGGTTCGAGATTTCTTCGTGGTATCATTCAGAGTTCAATAGAACAGATTACAGTAGAGGGTCAGGAAAACTAAGGTAGTCAGAACGCCATGTCGAGTGTGCTAAAACAACAGGTAAGATGATCGCTGGTGCAACAGTTTGGGCGAGTCACCATCCTCTGCTAATATCATAGTTTTATATGCCTATATTTTACGTGGTGGAGTTGGGGGGGGGGGGGGGGGGGTTAATCACCACCAACTGCAGACATCATTTAAAGTTTTATATGCGTACTAGCCGTCCCGGCCAGGCCCTGCTCTGGCTTCTGTGAAAAACCTTTCTGTTAAAGACCGTTACCTGTGTGTTTAGTAATCATCATAAACCCGGCATTGCCCACCCAAACCACAACCAACCAAAACCAAAACAACAAAACGCAAACATAACGCTAACACAATTACAAATACAAACGAAAGCAAAAACCTAACAACAAACCTAACCACAACTACAAACACCAATACGAACAAAAAGAAAAAAACAAACGAAAAAGCAAACGAAAACAAACCAAATCCAAACGCAAAACCAACCACAAACACAAATACAAACACAAACCCAAAGAAAAAACACAAACGAAAACGAAAAAAGAAAGAACAAAAACGAACCAAATCAAAACGCAACCACTAACGCAAACCCAACCTAAACACAAAGAAAACACTAACGCGAACATAAACGCAAAGTGCTCACAGTCTAGCCCGGGGCGGAATCGCCTGTTTCAGCTTAATAAACGATTATAGTACCCCAACTTATTCATAGTCTTTTGCACTCACTTTAACGAACGTAGGCGCCAAACCGAACACGGGAGGCCCGGGGCCCCAAATAGCACGCTGTCTGGGCGCCAGAGGACGCACCATGACGTAACGGCCTGATTCAACTTAGTAAAAGACTATAGTACATAACTTATTCATAGTCTTTTGAACTCACGCGAACGTAGGTACCATAGCGTACACGGGAAGGCCCGGGGCGCCAAAATAGCACCCTGTCGGGATGCCGGAGGACGCCCGGATTCGATTCACTTAAAGACTATAGTAACCTTTCTTATCCATAGTATATCGCACTGTTTAAAACAAAATTATGCAGCATAGCGCTCACATGATAGCCCAGGGTGCCAAATCGAACCGTGCAGGGGCGCCGGCGGACGCGCCTATTTCAATTTAGTGAACAAAATGATAATACTCCAAGCTTATCCGTAAATGGAAAGAAATAAACATATAGGATTTGTAGGACCTGGCTTATTAAATGTTATTGATTTAAAAAAAATAATTATTGAACAGTATGTTCAGTGTATAGAATAAATAAAAGGCAGTATTAAAAATACCAACGACATTGCACTTAATCAGTCCCCGCTAATTATGTAATTATGTAGACACGATGTTTTCAGAAGCCTTAGAGTTTATATCGTGTAATCACCACACATCTCATACCATCCTCTATTTCTATCCTCCCCTCCCCAGTCCACATCAAAAGCTTGGCAAAGTTTGGACATGCCCGGCCTTCTATCGACTCGGCCATGTCGGGCGCCAGCAGCAGCACAGGGGGGTCGTCGTACCGTGAGGGGGACGGGTTCGGCGTCCCGTCCCACGGGCTGGAGCCCAAATCAGGTAAGGTTGGGGCACACGCTCCACTCTTTTCTTTTACAGCCTGATCTGAGGTCACTGTTCTACAAGCTATGCATGTAGGTACTAAAGGTTTGACATAACATAAGAACCAAAACAATAGATGTGGATCTAATAGAAACCAGTGTTTCTTCCAGACTTTTTTCTCCAAGGGGGGGGGGGGGGGGCACCTCAAATTTTTCGGGGGATGGGGGGAGGGGGCGGATTAAATTTTCCGTGGGGGTGGGGGGTGGGCGGACACTGGTAAAAATCTACTTTGCTAGGGGGGCGGTAGAATTTCTTTTGGGGGGGGGGTTGGGTGGGGTCGGGGGGGGGGGGGGGGGGGGTGCCACCCTTTCCGAAGAAATGCCTGGAAGAAACACTGATGGAAACTGATATATGAACCTACAGAGTAATTTCAACACCCAAGTGATGCTTTAAAAAAATGAAATCCACTTTTACTTCATCTAGATCTATGTCTTCGTCAATCAAACACAGACCAAATGACCATATACATTCCTATTTCGCTTTCAAACATACCAATACCTTTCACGTGCTTACAGAAGTACAATAAAACTGTAACAACGAAGTGAACATCACTCATATGCTGATTATAAATGACATCAGCTCATTTCGTCTACAATTTTCAATGTCAAAAATTCTAATATATATTTAAGAGAAAAGACGCGCCTTTTTGTATGATAGTCTAACCTAGCTGAAGTTAACATTGTTTTTTTTTTGTTTTTTTTTTTTACATTTTCCCCAATTGTTTCAGTGTTAATACGAACGGCTACAGTCCAAGAATTGGAAAATCCCGCAGCGCCGTATGTGAAAAGAAGTTTTCGGGTAACACCACTTACCGCCACAATCATATTTACACAAATATAAACTTTCTCTAACTTTCATTCTGAATTGTTAAACCGACAACGTTGCTGTTCAATTACAGATCGAGTCTGACGAGATGGGGTTTGGTTTTGTACTGAGAGGGTCGTCACCATGTTATGTTCAGGCGTTGGATCCTTTAGGGCCTGCAGCTAGTGCGGGGATGAAGGTAAACTTAAAATGGTTAATTACGTTCTTAATTGAGCAGTTAGTTGTATACAATACAATCCTTAGTCTATGATACGTTATGGTTTTCTTCCCGAATCGAAATAGCCAGAATTTCGGATGAAATCAGCTTTGTGAAACTTAAATGCACTGAAGTACTTTGGTTCGTTTTACGATTAGTTTTTAGTTATGTGTATGAACACACACACACACACACATATATATATATATATATATATATATATATATATATATATATATATATATATATATATATATATATATATATATATATATATATATGTATGTATGTATTTGTAAATATATATATGTATTTCTAAATATATATGTATTTGTATATATATATATATATATATATATATATATATATATATATATATATATATATATATATATATATATATATATATATATATATATATATATATATATACGAATATCATAAGTCGATTTGAATTGAGTATCATAAGCTACCATTACCTCCCCCAGGTTCGACAGTTTGTATCAAACGTGAACGGTCAGAACGTCCTACGCATGGACCACAGACAGGTGGGTCAGATGATCGCCCAGCAGAGCAAACTGGCTATCACCGTCCTCATGTACAGGTGTGACGTCGATCGCCTCTGACCCTGGTCACGTGACCATCCATTCAGACGATTACAATAATAATACTCATGATTTTTTCGCGACATCATTTATAATGAAAGTCAGCTGACTGGGTTTTTCAACAAAAAAAGTGCATTTTATTTATCGAAAGTTTACCATCTCATTAACTACTTGCAATTGTACATTTCCTGTTGAAATAATTATGTTTCCCTCCCTTTACTGTAGTAGCATACGTTGGCAATAAATGTGTATTATTACGTAATTCCTGTGTTTTAATGTGTACATAAATCGGGTGAAACTTTTATAATGTTCAATGATTATATTCATTTCTATTTTTTTCGATTAAAAAAAATCATTTCTTCTGAAACTGAATACAAGAAGATGAACGAGGGTATCATAGAAATTTTAATGAATTAAATGAGAAATCCACTAATTATGGATTTGTATTTAGACCGTTTTACACAACTAGATAAGTTCATTTTATAAATGGTTCATAAAATATATTTTAAAACAATTTTCAATGCGTTGTATTTTTTATTATACCTTTCATATTTTGCTAAATTAAATGGCTGAAATGTAAGATTTTAGCTACTTTATTAGAATATCAATCTATTTAATTCATTGTGAAAAAAAAATTAAACATTTTTCTAATACGAAACATGGAGATTTTGTGGTGTTGACATATTTTGAGTACTTTCGTGAGTGTGGGACCATTCGTGAAAATTATTTTTTTTAGAAATGCTCTGGGGAGTTGGAGGGGGGGGGGAAGCAATAATAAATGCTTGAAAGAAACACTGCTGGCTACGTGAAATATTTGCAATGTCTGTTTCTTTACACCAATCTCTTAGAGGAGTCAAACAGTTTGAAGTCTCTTGAAAAATCAGATTTTCGGAGCAACGGGTCAGATTCATGTTTCGTGAAGTAAAGTCCGTTTCCTACACCAGTAGAATTCCTAATAGAAAAACATAACATCACTCTCACTTCTAATGTAGTACCGCAACATCACTTACACTTCTAATGTAGTACCACAACATCACTTACACTTCTAAAGAAGGACCACAACAACTCTCACTTATAATGTAGAACCACAACAACTCTCACTATAAATGTAGTACCACAACCCACTCTCACTTCTAATGCAGTACCACAACCTCACACTTCTAAAGAAGGACCACAACAACTCTCACTATAAATGTAGTACCACAACCCACTCTCACTTCTAATGTAGTACCACAACCCACTCTCACTTCTAATGCAGTACCACAACCTCACACTTCTAAAGAAGGACCACAACAACTCTCACTATAAATGTAGTACCACAACCCACTCTCACTTCTAATGTAGTACCACAACCCACTCTCACTTCTAATGTAGTACCACAACCTCACACTTCTAATGTAGTACCACAACATCACTTACACTTCTAAAGAAGGACCACAACAACTCTCACTATAAATGTAGTACCACCACTCCACTCTCACTTCTAATGTAGTACCACAACCTCACACTTCTAAAGAAGGACCACAACAACTCTCACTATAAATGTAGTACCACAACCCACTCTCACTTCTAATGCAGTACCACAACCTCACACTTCTAAAGAAGGACCACAACAACTCTCACTATAAATGTAGTATCACAACCCACTCTCACTTCTAATGTAGTACCACAACCTCACACTTCTAAAGAAGGACCACAACAACTCTCACTTATAATGTAGAACCACAACAACTCTCACTATAAATGTAGTACCACAACCTCACACTTCTAATGTAGTACCACAACATCACTTACACTTCTAAAGAAGGACCACAACAACTCTCACTATAAATGTAGTACCACCACCCCACTCTCACTTCTAATGTAGTACCACAACCTCACACTTCTAAAGAAGGACCACAACAACTCTCACTATAAATGTAGTACCACAACCCCACTCTTACTTCTAATAAAGAACTCTGTTTCCTGTAATACAAGTCTCACTTCTAATGAAGGTCACTATGTTCCCTACAATTTTCACTTTCACTTCTAATCATCTTTTTCTTCTTCGTTCTTAATTCTAGTGTTTGAAGAGATTTCCTCCGACACAATTAAGTATTGCGTGTCACCTTGTTATCCGATTTCTGCTTCCATAGCCTTTGTCCAACCAAGAACAAACTACAAGGCAGCTGTTGTTTGATTTTGGAGTTGTCTCTCCTAGATTATCTGCCCTGGGGTTTTCGTTTCAGCGTCCATGACCTTTAACCGACCCGACCACTCCGACTTCCGACCTCTTCTGTTTTCTATAATAATAACAATTTGCTTTGTAATAATACCAGTCTCACTTCCATAGAAGAACTTGGCTTCCAGTAACAACAGTCTCACTTTTAGCGAAGAACCTTGTTTGCTACAGTACCAGTTCACTTCCAATGAAGAGTTTGGCTCCCAGTAACACCAGTCTCACTTCTATTGAAGAGACTTGCTTCCTACAAAACCAATCTCTTCCAATGAAGAATTCTCTGTTTCCCCCACTACAACCGTGTCTGGGGGTGCGACTGACTCCAACACACCCACAGACCAGTCCTACCGGGGGACCGTCAACAGCACACTGCACACCTTTCCACAAAGCACACTTAACGTGTGATGGCGTGGCCGCTTGATAAAGGTGATGCAGAGGCCGTATCAGGTCCAGAGGTTGAAGAGACACAAATACCCTTCTACCGGCGCTTGAGCGGACGCCAAAGACCTCTCAAAAAAAAAAGTGAAATTCGTTGCTCTGATTTCAAATACTACGTCTCGAATTTCAGCGAATATGAAGGGGCTCGGCAGTGTCGAAGTCAGCCGAGCCCCCCCTCACACTGAACTGGTATACGCTGAGCATCAGAAGAACGAAGTAAGCGTTAAGTCAGAGTAGAGGCGGGGGTAGTCTTTCGAACAAGGCTACACCGCTAGGTACTGACGGTTAGCTAGATCTTTGCTTATTTTATAGCAGGCGACAAGAGATACGCCGTCTATACAGCAACTTATTACTGGCAAAATACTAGTCAAATAACCGATATATATATATATATATATATATATATATATATATATATATATATATATATATATATATATATATATATATAATACGTGGTTATTTGTGTACAAAAATAATAAATAGTCTATAGAAAAGGAAAAATGTAAATAAAAGTTGGAGAAATGTATAAAAAAACGGCATGAAGAAGCACCATTTCATTATGAGAATATTTTATTAAGCAGCTCTCCATAAAGTGATTAGGTACGCACTACGGCTAACCTGGTTTATAAATAGCTCCTTGCTCATTTTAATTTTCATTGGTCATAAATGCGTCTTCAGTTATAAATAGAAATCGATTATTAATATTATTATTATAAGTTTTGTTGATTTGACTATTCTAGGAACGAGACACACAAAAAAAACATGGCATATCGTTCAATTTTATTCACGGTGCCGACAAATAATTCGGTTATTCGAACCCCCTCTGAACTGGCATCACTTATCAAATTTTGCAACTGAAGCACCTTCCGGGGGAGGGGGGGGGGGGCGTTTTAAACCTTCGGAGGGGGCGGACTAAATTTTACGGAGGGGGACGGGGGACGGACACTAGTAAATGCATATTTATTAATAAATTTTATTTTGTTCGTAGGGGGGGGGGGGTACACATTCTTCTGGGGTGGGGGGCACTCGGCGAGCTTTTAACCCCATTTCACCCCTGTTCGTCACAAAAACCAACCAACTACAACTCAGAAACTCTACAGAATGGCCTCACAAAGAACCACACACGTCACACGCTGAACAATAATTCTAACAACAATCAACATGTCCCCCCCCCCCCCCCCGAAAATTTCAAGTGCTCCCCCCCCCCCCCGGATTAAAAAGTCTGGAAGAAACACTGCACCCACCCCTATCCATAAGTTTGTTACAACAAATGATAATATTAGAGCCCCCCCCCCCCTCCCCGCTCCCATTAATCATTGTAACACATCGTCGCACACGTCTGAACTCCTCCCTCCCCCATAAACCTATGTGTGTGGCGTCAAGCATATATGTAGGCATATCAATTAATGGATATCCAGAGCACATACAGTGTAAAAAAGAAAATTATTAGCGGCGTGGACGTTCAACCCTTTCTATCATAACTGAATATTAACAGCTTATTAAGCCTGCTTTCTTTCTACCTATTGACATACGTTCACAAGTTGGGCTGGTACCTTCTTGAATAACGCTGTTAAAAACTGTTGCGAGTTTTTATCTATTGTTTGTTGGTGGTGACGTGGATCCACTGATTCATCGGTAGAACATACACAGTTAGCCTACCCCCCCCCCCCCCCCCCTCCCAAAGCTAGGAACCCTATGGTGCCTGTTATTGGCGTAGCTCTGTTACACGTATTCCTATGTCTATAAATTACGTCTGCCAATTTCTTATAATTAATTATATGTAAAGGGGCGATAAGGCAATCTCGACCATTGCGCTAGATTAGCAAAAGCCTGCCGTGGCAATCATACCAGTAGGATAGTGTAATGTAATTTTTTGTTACATAGTTTTCGAACGTGTTTTATTTTATTCGCATCATTGTTTTCTTTCATCATAAACTAGATCTATCTCTTTTACCGTAATGTAAATTAATGTTTTTTTTTAATTAAGTCAATAACTATTGATGCTTAGACATAGGTTAGATTTATATACAATGTGTAGTGGCCAATTAGGTCCATATTCTAAGAATACCTTTTACAATGTAATTCAATGATGTCGGTCGGCTTCAGCTGTTTGCGTGTTTATTGTTAGTTATAGACATAGGCCTACTGATGTATAGTCTAGCACTCCCTTTTAAAAAAAAAATTACTTTGAGGGATGGGGGGGACACTTCTATTGTTCAGAAAAAATATATACTTCTTTTTAAGTTGGTACGCCAGACTCTCAGCGAAGCTTTGTAATCGTCAATAATTAAAACTAGATAATAATCTAGATCAAACAGAAAACTTACTTTGATTCTCGCGATATCTGTTATTTATAATTATTTATGCATCTATCTTGTCCACAAGTATTTCAGTATGAATTTTAGTTGAAGATAAAATGCGAACTTTTTTTTCTGTTTCTTCAGGATTAGCTCTTTTGTTTTATTAAAGATGGCGCATCGCAGTTGTAAACAAATATTCGGCATCAGTTGATAATATTTTTAATAAATAAAAATGGTTATGATTTGTAATAAGCTCAATGAATTTAAAAGATGTTTCCTTCATCTGGTTATTTTCGTGGAGTAAATTGTCCATTCTATATCAGTGGTCTTTGTGAACGCCCCTACTGTCATTTTCGTCATCCATCACGAATCGAGGACAAGACTTCAACCAGTAACAGCTCCTTAGTAAACAAGCCAGGTTTGTTTTCAACACTGACTCTTACTTAAACTACTCTATGCTTTAGTGATAGCGACAGATATTATTATTGTTTGGACTTTTAACACATGTAGATTAGAGACTGATCGAGATTGGGATTAAAAAAACAGATAAAATTAAAATTTAGTTAGGGCCTAGATCTAGGCCCTAACTGAGTAACTCAGCCTCTACTAGTCTACTAACTGCTAACTCAATAATCAATAACTGAACTGGTTAACTGCCATACTAACTCACTGTAACTAGATCTAGATCTAGTAACTACTAAACTAGTAACTAGTAGTTAAACTACTAACTCCTAACTGAACTCAAAATAAAAATTAGGCCTACACTGGCCCTACACTGCCTACACTCTACACTGACTCTATCATCTACACCAGGGGTCTCCAAACTTTTCAGTCCGAGGGCCGCATTAACTATCAAATTTCAGTTCGGGGGCAAGTTTCTTCCAGGCATGTCTTTGATTTTTCTGGGCAAAGTTCCTCAGCCATCATCAACAAATGTTTTTTCCGTGGACAAAAAGGTCTCAGCGGGCCGTAGTTTGGAGACCCCTGATCTACACTCTACACTACAGTTAACTTAATTAAGGTAGTCAATATAGTAGTTTACTAGTTAGTTGTAGGCTATTACAAGTATTAGGCATACTTTATTTATTCACTGTGTCAGTAGATCCAACCTCCTCATCAAGTTATTAGTTCAGTAGTATTCACAAGTATTGTATTCACTATTCAGTAGGCCTACACCTAATTTTTTTTAACTGGCAAAAAGTTTAAAAATTAAAAACTCATTGCGTTCTTAAAAAATATAACAAAAGCTGTACAGTTAAGATAAAATTAAGTATAGGCCTAGATAATTTTAGGATAAGCTTAGATTCTTAGAAGGTGTCAGGTGGTAAAACTTATGACTGCTAACCCAAAAGTCTCGAATTTGGATCCCCAGCTCAGTCTGTCAGATGTCCCTGAGTTCACCCAGCTCCAGTGGGTACCTGACTAATGTTATTTTGTTTGTGAATAATAAGGCTGCTGGGAATAGTGCTTACCACACTATCACCTTGCAAGCCAATGTAATTGAAGCAGGTGAACTCTTCCATATGTAACTTAGGCATGAATGGGGAAAAATTACAGTTATGCTTTAATTAATATCCTTGCTTTTACCTTTGTTTTATGTTTGGGTAAAAAAAAATAGCTATGGCTAGTTTTAGAGAGTCATTATCCTTGCAAAAGCATCCAATATTTAGTACTGAAAAACTCCAAAAACTGCTTAATTAATGGTGTCCCTCATAGTGGAGTGTCCATATTTTTTCGAGATTCTTATGTTATTGTTACAATTTTAAAAATCTGACTTAATTCATTTTTAATCTGCATTGATTCCTCATTTGGTTGGCTAAATAAAGCTGACAGCTAATTAGTTATTCCCTTATTTTCAATATTCACCTTGCTAGTTGCAACATTATAAATAACACTGGTCTACAGTATCAATAACAACAATATTTCTTTCTTAAACATAACTCTAACTTTAAAAAAAAAAATCAATATCAGCAATACTACCAACAAAATGAATATGTTGATAGCAATAACCTGAAATAATTTTTAAAAATTAAGATTTTTTCAGTTAAACTAATTAACAGATATATACAATATTAAATCTGTCAAGAAAAGTTTTCCCCCATTAATAGCATTGATGTTATTAGATACTACTGGAAATAAATTTTGACATTCAGTAAAAATGTACCTTAGTAAAATTATAATTCTCCATCAAACCACTTATTAAGTGTTCTTGGCAACAGCTTGTGCCATGTGATAAGCTCAGAGGAAAATAACATTGAATAGAATTCATTTGCCTCTCAGAATTTAGCTTGATTTATTTTAGATACAATTAGAATCAGGCCTGAATGAAGCAGCTTTGAAATATATTACTAACGTTTTTTTTTTAGTAATAACCATTTTGACCATACATATACCACATAGCAGTGGTCTGTTTGTAGAAAAAAGTTTTTTAATATAAATAACTTACAAACTAATAAAATATGAACATATTTTTTTTAATCAATAGAAAATGGACCCAGCTACTCAACACCTGGTGCCAGGCAGTACAATCACAGCACAGCCTACCTTACAAGCTCCTACTCCAGCACGCCTCAGCCTTCAGAACTGGCCCGCTACTCTACATCAGCTCCTAGTCAACCCACTGGACCTGTTGAAGTTTATAAAACAGCATCACAGCCAAATAACGAAGCTTTCCCTATACCAACTTTTACAGGATCAGAGCAGGCATTACCAGAGTCATTGGAGGAACCTGTTGCTAGGGCATTGCTCCCAAAGATCTCTGGTCTTGCCAGGCCAAAGCTGAGCTCAGGAGGAAGGTTACCTTCATATGTCCCCACACCTAAGGTTCATTTAGCAGTGAAAAAAGATGTGCCTGCTTATGAACCAACACCTAAAACTGCCTCAGCCAAAATCTCTAGTCGCACTATTGAGTATGACCCTGTAAAAAACTTTGCGTTTGTCGAAAAAAAGATTAGCAGTGAGGATGATTCAGATAAGGAGGCAAAAGCAGGAAAAACAAAAGAAGTCTCTGAAAAGGAGAGTGCAGATGCAGAATTTAGTGATGATGAGGCGGATAAAACTAACAAAGTTGTTACAAAGTCTAAAAATGCTTGGGATGATGATGATCTGACAGATTCAGATGTAGATTTAAGTAACAACGATTCCTCAAAACCTGAACAAATTGAGGATAGGCTAACAGCTTTACTTTTACCATCGTCACACATCACAAGAAAGTTAGACTCTTTAGACAAAGATGTTTCTAAAAGCCTAAAAAACGGTATTAGAAAATCATCAGATGAAAAGAGAAATTCTGACAGTAGATCTCAAAGCTTATCAAAGCCAAGTGTAGAAAAGAATGGCAGCACTGTAGAACATTCATCGAAGTCTAATTCCTCTAAATCATGTTCAGCCAAATCAGACTCAACAAAACATCGGCATCCGTCATCAAGCTCATCGACAGCAGAAAGACGAGCATCTCGGTCATACTCTTCTGAATCTCATTCTTCAAAGTCATCCACATCACATTCGTCACCTAAGGGGCATTCTTCAAAGAACATCTCATCTAGTTCTCACTCATCAAAGTCACATCCCTCAAAGCAAAGTTCCTCAACAAAATCTGTTTCAACTTCAAAGTCGTCCACAAAATCTACATCCTCCTCAGAAAGTCACAAATCTCACAATTCTTCATCAGCTGTTAAGAAATCAGCATCTTCTTCGTCATCGTCTTCAGATAAAAGTAAAGTTTCATCATCGAAAGAAAGCTCTTCCAAACACAATGAAAATAGTAGGAATTCAGAGAAAGAGAATCATCAATCTTCTAAACATAAACCTTCCAGCCAATCAAAATCCGACCAATCTTTAGACAAATCTAATTCATCGACCAATAAATCATTAAACTCAACACAGAAACACTCAGACAAACACAAGATAATTAAAATTGAGCCCAGCTCATCTAGTGATTCCCTAACCACCAATCCAGACAATCAACATGATACAAAAACAAATAAAGACGTACGGAGTAGTTCCTCTTCTAATAATAAAAAACAAAATAGCTCTCAAAATAAGACAAAACATGAGGGTAAGAATATTTTCCATAGTGTAAATAAAGATCTCAAAAGAATTTCATCCACCTCTGAAACTAAAGTTGATATTAAAAAAGAACGTCGTGACAGCAAAGATCTGAAACATTCTAAGCGCAGTAGATCCAGCTCGGGTGAGTCAAAACCTGCAAAAAAACGAATAAAAACCGAGACTTCCTCTCGTTCGTTCAGCCAGGAGAGTGAAGGATCAGATTCTGATGTACAGATAATAGATAACCCACCAGAACCTCCCGTCCAAGTAGTTGAGGTCAGTGAATCTGACCACGATGATAATCACAATGATGATGATTCTGACGATGACTCATTTTCTGGACTTACGGATGACCTGATGTCTGAAGCCGACACCTTTGATGAGTGCTTGAAGATTTTTCAGGAGAGTGAAAAACAGCTGGCAGCCAAGGCCAGTAAAGCTAGCCCTGATCAGTCAAAAAAGAAAGAGGTGGGTGACATTTCTCCTACCTTAGTTTTAGAGAGGGCAGTAAAGGAAAATATCAAATCTCCTTTACGCTCAAGTCATGAGACAAACTCAATACTTTTGTGTTTGCAGTTGAGTGCTTTAGCACTTGACCAGTGTGTTTAAATGTTATACTGGTGATCTGCTTTCATTTATTTTTCTAAATCAAATATTGTATGAAAATTGTTTTAATTAAACATTTTTAGAATAAAGTAAATATTCTCTCAAATTACTTTCCCTTTAAGCTACATGAAAAGTGTTAGTGCTTGTGTACTGTGGTCTTAAATATTATAAAAATGAATCATGCAATTTAAGTATGTTTAATATATTATATTGTTATAGAAAATAGTAATCTTAAGTTTAAATTTTAGGTTAAAAAGCCAACAGAAAATCCAGAAACCATGTTGGCTTTTCTTGGTAAGAAGAGGATGGCTCATATTGCCGCTAATCAGGTAGGAAACGCTGACGATTATAAACAGTTACATTCATTGTTTTAATCTTGAATTTTTTTTCTTTTACATGAGATAGATAAACAATATTAAAATCAGTTTTAAAAAAATGTATGCCTGATAAAATTAATTTTACTGTTTGTGTAAAATATGCTTAAAATGCTAAATTTAAAGGAGGTGAGATGTTTCAATATTATTCCCCATCAATATATGCATTCTCATTAAATCCTTGTCATTTAATTAATTTTGGAAAGTTACAGTTAAGTTGTTATATATCCTTGTTAATTGCTAGTGTGCCAGTTAACTGTCAGTACTTGTGCCTAATACTCTTAATCTCAAAAAGCTATTCTTCTCATATTACAGTCAAGGGTAGTGAAAACCCCATCTTCTTCCAGGCCTAAGCTCAACCCAGCAGAAGTGATGCACAACCGAATTGTGGAAATGCAGAAAAGGGCACTGTTACGGGCTGCTGCAAGAGAAGGAAGGGAATCGGAACTTGTGTGTTTTATTTTCAATCAATATGTTATTCAGGAATGTTAAACCTGGCTAAATTAGTGATTCTGATCAGCAGTTTTCAAACTTTATGTCACTGCATTTCTTGAAGAATCAATAGGCATTTACACCTATATAATGTATTTTTACGCAAATGTTTACGGCTATTTAATTTCATATAAACATATTGCTTTTGTGAAGAAACACTGTGGTTGATTCATTTTGAAAAAAAAACAGCCAGAAGATATGAAAAATGCTATATATATCATGCATATTTTTTATTGATATAAACAATCGACTTCATGCTTGTAGATTTTTATTCATAATGATTTTACAATTCAGCTCAACTTGTTATGCCTCACGTAGCATTAGTTATCACTTCCCTGAAGAGGCATGCTTCTCAGTTTATTATTGTAGAATAAAAATGCATTTTTAAAATTTATAAAACATTTGTGTTACTGCAGTTAAAACTTAATCTTAGAAAAAAATAAATGGTTTATTCATATTCACATTTGTTTCTTCACTCAGCCAAATGGTTTATCAAGCCCTACAAGTGGAAATAAATCTCCCACAAAATCTTCATCGTCCTTATCATCTCTGCTGTCAGCAGCTGATTCCATCATTTCCATCTCTAAGAAAAGAGAAGCACACAACCCCACCCCACCAAAGACTCCAACGAAATCATCCCCAACTATTCCAACGAGTTCATTTTACGCTAAACCCAAGACAAAAGAGCAGACAAAGTCAACTGGAAACTCAGTTACCATAGCTGGAACGGCCTCAAAAACTGAGAAGCGTAAAGCACATGAACCAACAATGGTAGGGAGGATATCTTTAGGCTGATAACATTTCATTTAAAATTAACTCAGCCAATCAATAGACTTAAAATTTCATGGTATGTTGCCGCACCTTATTACAGATATGTTTAAAGAGATGATAAATGACACTGACTCTTAACCGTCTAGAATTTTAATTCTTTTTTTTTTGCATATGTTAGAATAATTTTATTTTTAAAATATCAATAATTTTAAATGTATTAATTAATTAATTTTAATTAAATATTCAATAGTAATTAATTTTTTTTTAAAAATATCAATAATTTTATAACTTATAAGAGGAATTTGTGAAAACTATTATACACAAGTAAATGTGACAGCTTTTCTGTAAAATTTTCTGTAAAATTTCAAATAAGTAAAATTTTTATCATCATTATAAACACAATTTACAATTTGAGGAGGTATAAATCATAAAAATATCTTTTGATACTTCAGTCGAATTTGAAGCGTCCTATCATCCCTGCATCATTTGGTGACAAGGTCCCTACAAATATCAGACAGAGATATCTTAACCTCATGATTGATGAATTCCTTAAGTTTACTCCAGAAGAAGAAGCTTTCAACAAGGTCAGTTGTTTCCCCTTTTATAGTATTGTTTTGAGTATTCACCTATATGAACAAGTCTTATATTTGTGTTAATTAATTAACAATGGTTTAATATAAAAAATTTTAAAAGTGTCTTTTTACAAAACACGATATGTAGAATCTCTATTAAAAAATTCATATTATATCAACTGAAAGAATTGTACATATATTATAAATCATCTCACACAATTCAATAGCTTATCATAAAACGCATGCACACTTAAAAGTCATAAACTTGTTTTTAATTTTTAAATTAAAATGAAAAAAATCAGATCACCTGTTTGTTTTGTTTGCCTAAAGTTTTATTGTAATTAAACCTAAACAGCCTAGAAACCTGTACAGCAAAACCATCCTTAACTCAGATTTTTAAAAAAATATTAAAGCAAAAATTATTTTATAATAATTGTCTATTTTATACATTGACCCATTAAGCTTTATTTTTACTCCATTTTATGTTGTTTATTTTGTTTATTGACCCATTGAGCTATCTACTAATGTGCAGGGTCTTGATGAAGAATTGGCTGTTTACATCCGAGCCAGCAACAAAAACATTTATCTCAGACTTGCCGTGAACGCCATTAAAAGGATCCGCACAGAGGCTAAGGAATCCCAGCCCTCATCCTCCAAGAGCCCCTGCGCAGGTGTGTCATCCCTCTCATCCATGGCAGCGCTCCCATCACACGTGGCCCAGTCCCACGAGGCCACCCTGGGTGGTTCATTGGCCGCCAGGACCAGTTACACCCTTCATAGGTCGTCCTCTGTCACGAAGAACTTGCCTTCAAGTTTCAGAGGTACGTAAACTCTTTACACCCATCTCCGTGTCTTTCATACTGCATTTTTTTATTTTGTTTAAAATTTACATGATACACTTCTTAAATAAATAATATATTTTTAATGATTTCATATTCTGAAATTTGTAATTGTTTTTAGGTAAAGATTTGTATGACAGACTAAGCAAGTATATTCTGACAGAGGAACAGCTACGTGCCAATGGCTACCCACGCCCAGCTGAAGATGGCAGCAGTAAAGTTGTCTTTTATAAAGAGGAAACTAAAGATAATCTTTTGAAAGGTATACTACAATATTAAGATTGATTTCACTGTTTTGTTAAGTAAAAAAGTGATATGGAATTTTTTTTAAAGGTTGATCTTGCTATGGTAGCTTAACTATAATGGATTGAAGCAGTAAAGTCTAAAGATTGTGATTTTTACATATTATTTTATTATGCCTATTAGAAAATGAAAGAACATGCAGACGTTGTGGTAAAAGATACTATGTAGCAGTGGATGGCACCCCGGCTACAGTAGAAAAATGTATATATCACCATGGAAACGCTTACAAGAAGAAAGGTAAGCTTTAAGTCTAGGATTTTTTTGTTAGTGTTTAAATTGTAAAGATTTTTATAATTTATGTTCTTGGAAATTGTTGTATAGCAGTTAAAACTAAGTTTGTAAAACCTGTTACATCAAGTTGGTTAGATAATAATGCATGTTACCTACATGTTTTTTTATCAGCCTAGATGTTAATTAAAATATTTTTACCAGTGACAGGTTCTATAGATTCACACTATGCTTGCAATGTTACCAACATATTTTTATCACTCTAGATGTGAACAGTTTAGTATTAACTTAATCATTTTTATCAGTGGCAGGTTGTATAGATTCACACTATGCTTGCAATGTTACCAACATGTTTTTATCGCTCTAGATGTGAACAGTTTATTGTAAACATTATCATTTTTATCAGTGGCAGGTTCTATAGATTCACAGCTTCTATAGATTCACAGGTTCTATAGATTCTCACTATGCTTGCTATGTTACCAACATGAATTATTGCTCTAGATGTGAACAGTTTAGTATTAACTTAATCATTTTTATCAGTGGCAGGTTCTATAGATTCACGCTATGCTTGCTGTAATGAAAGAGCAGGAAGCAAGGGTTGTCAAGTTGCCGAGGTAATATAAAAATATTTTAGTAAACTCTTTATAGTCAATTTTCTCTCATAACAATTTAGTATAAAAAAAAATTTTGTGTGGTAGATATTACATTGCTATTTCAAAACAACAATACAAACATTTTTTAAATGTTCAATAATCGCTTTGGATGAATATAAGAAGTGTAGCTCATCCAAGTTTTAAATATGAGTATTAAAATAAATGAGTAGTTTATTTTGATGATGTTGTTTTTTATATTAGAGCCATGTGAATGAAAGAAATAAAACAGACAACCTGACTGGCTACATGAAAACACTGCCTGGCGATGACCATAAAATATATTCTCTTGATTGTGAGATGGTAAGAATGATTGAAATGTGCTGCATGTAGAAAATAATTTAACTTTGTGTCAAAGCATATTTTAAGTCCTTAAAAAGTTATTAACTTTTATAAAAAAGAATGTATCAGTGATCATTATTTTTTTAAAAAGAAAATTAAATAATTTTTGAAAATATCCAGGCAATAGAAATATTTATTTTGGCTACCCTCGCTATTTTGTTTATAACAATTTTTAAAATTTGAACAGGTTTATACAAAAGCTGGATTAGAGTTAGCGAGAGTTACAGTTATTGATGAGGACTGTAACACAGTGTATGAGAGCCTGGTCAGACCAGACACAGACATCATTGACTACAACACAAGGTACAGTATTGGCTTTAGTTTAAAGTACTGAGATTACATGTAACCACTTAAATGTATTATTTTTAACTTAGTCCCTCCCATTGCTGCTCAGAAAACCTTATTGGGCTCAGAAAGTTGAAGTTTAAAAAAAAAAATCTCTAACAAATTATTTGGTTTAGAAAATTGAATTGCAAAAAAAAAAAAAACTGAAAAGGATAAATATAAGCTTGCAGTTTATTATTATTACATACTTCATTGCTGAGATTTAAATTCAGTACTATTTATTTTATTTTGAAATGATTTGTTTAATATTTCGTGTATTTTTTCCTTATATTAAATTTTAGAGTATTATTTTTAATTTACAAATGTATCTCATCTATTCTTCCTACCATTTACTCTTCAATTCACTCAGACTAAAATAGTTTACAAATAGTTTACTTGATATTTTGTGGCAAACAGTTTCAGTGATAATTTATTGTGTTGACCTCAGGTTCAGTGGTATCACAGCAGCCGACATGAAAGGTGTAGCGACCAACCTGCGTGGTGTCCAGGCAGTTATGTTGAGCATGATATCAGATAAAACTATCCTCATGGGCCACAGTCTGGAGAGTGATCTTGTAGCCCTTAAGGTATTTGCTCACATAGATTTATCTTCACTTTTAACATTTAGTAAAGACCAATAGTAAAGGACAGCGTGGTTGAGTGCTAGATCGCTTGACTGCTAGCCCAGAGGTTTCAATTTTGCATCTCCTTAAGTCCACCTTGTTTTGATGGGTACCTGACTATGTTACGGAAAGTAGAGGTGGCTGACCACACTACCGCTTTTTAAGTTGAGGTAAAAAAAACCAGGGAACTTTATGGTTTCGTCTAAAAGGAGAACTTTACTTAAAAGATAAATGTTGTAATAATTTTATTTTCTGTTGTAAATTTTTTAAATATTATTGAAAAAGATAAATATTGTTGTAATCTTAATTTCTCTTGCAAATTAAAAAAATTACGAATCTAGTAAACTAAAATAAAAAATAATTTTGATAAAATCATGATTTTGAAAAATGATATTATCCATGCTGTGAAATAATAAATATATTCTGTAGCACATGTTTACCTGTTTATTTCAAGATATCAATGGATAGCACATTTTTTTGCATGTTCTCAACTAGCTTATACACAGTACAGTTGTAGACACATCGCTGGTCTTCCCACATCGGCTTGGTCTACCCTACAAGAGAGCACTGAGGAATCTAATGGTGGAGCTGCTGCAAAAAATTATCCAGGCAGATGGTGAGATGAAATCTTTTAAAATCATGTTACTGTAGGTTTTTTTTTTGTTGTTTTTTTCCCAACTAAAACATGAAAAATATACAAGGTACTTAGAAAATGTCAGCAAATTATTACCATTGCATGGGAGACAACTCTATTTTGTAAGTTACATTTTCCATGTCTTGACTAATTTTTAGTTTTTATTTCTTTTTTTCTTATTTACTGTAAACTATTGTTCAAACATTGTTTTTTGTAAGATTCTAACCATTATGATTCAAACAAAAAATAAGAAATAAAAAATTTCAAGCAGCGTTATACCAAAGATTTTTTTATTAAAAACCTCAGCCACAAATTAATATTAAAACAACAGATATATAAACTTATCCATCTTGATTATCATTATATCATTATGAAATTGTATATATTTAAAATTCCAATATATTGGTTCACTCAGAATTTTAACATAAAGAGTATGATTTTTCATACTAAAAATTGAAATCATACTTTGCTTATTTTGTTTAAAAATTGTTAGTTAAAAAACCATTTCTTTAACTTTTAATAATCTGCATTTGGGTTAAGTATTTTAAATTTTTTTACCTTTTATAATGCGTACAACGTAGTTATTTTGTTAACAATACTAATTATTTTCCAGATGGAGGTCATGACAGTAAAGAAGATGCTGTGGCCTGCATGCAGCTGATGCTTTACAAAGTTAAAGAGGATGCTAAAAGAGATATCAGGAGGGTTTGATCACTGTAGGACTGTACGCTATTACATTTAAAGGTTTGGTAATTATTTATCTACAATTGTATTATTGATGTGTTGAACGAACGGCAATAGCAAGAGTTAGGTTACATGTACTTAATTTAATAAATTTTAAGCATCATATGTTGTTTGATTTTTTTTTAAATTATAAAAATGTAAGTGGCTAATTTAAAAATTATTTGTTGACATTACTGATTTATTTAATATTGAATCTTTTTATATAATAGTAAATTTTTGCTTAAAGACAACTATTTATTTATTGCAACTGCAGGCGAATTTGTAAAAATAATAGGATTTTTTTATTTTTATCATTAATGTTCCAGGATTAGAAATGGTCTTCATCATAAACATAGAATATAAATAATGTGATTTTGTTCTTTATCTGCTTATTCATTAATTAATGTTCATTACTTTATTTTTGTATAATCATTAAAAGCAATCCATTTATTACTTTTAAAGTTTTTAAAAATATTGTTAAAAAAAATGTAACACTTCATATTGTATATATTAGAGCACAATTTAATGCCTTAAGTGTTTAGTGGTTCAAATAGAAATCATATGATATATTTATATGGTATTTCAGTTGCATTGTTTAAAAACTCAGATTTGTTTTGTAAAATATTTGGCAGTTATAAGTTGAGGTTTTGCTTTAATTGCTTTAACCAAGTGATGTCATAACATTGTCACATGTCTTTGATTGCTGACAATATATGGTATTATTGCTTTTGTAATTTATAGCATTTTTTTTCTCTTTATTGGGGTAGTTTGGCAAGATGTTCTTTTAAAAGAAAAATTATGTGAGTTTCCTCTAAATTTTAATTCTGTTCTTTATTTTTTATTAAAACAAATAATCTCTCTCTATTTAATATTTTTGGCCTGTTTTACCATTTGAAAAAAAAAAACAACTGCCGTAACATTTTTAAAATACATCTTAATTATTATGTAATATGTTATATAAAATTTTTTCTTGAATTATGTGTTCTGAGAATAGATGTATTATCTACATGAATTACGTTTTTATGGTAATCATATGTATAAAACATTTATTTCTAAGATAAACTTTTCGCAATCCAGTACAGTTAAATATGATATAAAAATAAATCATCATGATGTTGAAAATCCAACGTTAAAAATACTATGAAATTATGAAGTGATAATTTTCTAATATGCCGCCATTCAGTTTGATGTAGTCTGTACATAGACTAATTTGTTTTGCCCTTTTTGTAATAATTTTTTTTAAAATTATTTTTAAAAAAAAATGGCAAATTTTATGAAAGCTAATTAATGAAAACATCTAAGTTGATATTCTAAGTGTTGATCATTAGATTTTCTGTTAGAGTTGTTTAATTTGAAACGTAAACTGCTGCTTTTTTGTTATTTAGAAAAATGTATAAAATCTGCAATTTTCTCAGTACAGTTGCAAACAAAAAATTAATTTACTTATTGTTGTTTTTTTTCAGTATATCTGCACATTTTTTAAGCAAATCAGGAATTTGAATTTTTTTTTGGGAGATACCTAATGATAACCTTGTGTTAAATAACATGCCAGTATTATCTTTTACTTTGTTAATCACTTCTGTGAAAATTGTTTTTGCATAAAATTAACATTTTGCTTGTATTTTTTAATTTTAATTTACTATAATGCCCAATGTGGAAGTGTTCAATGTTATACTTAAGCCAGTGATTTGAGTTCCTGCTGATGATAGTGTATTGGATGCTTCGTTGAGATTCGATACATAAATAAAATAGTGCTAAAACAGAAGATGTGAAAAAAAACTAAAAATATTTTTCATTTTATTTGTATAAATTTCTGTTTTGATATTGCTGATGGAAATCAGAGTATTAACATTTGTATTTCTTATGTTTTATTTTAACTTCGTGGGGTTTGAATTTGAGGAAAAATTCTATTAATAATTAGTATGATAAATAATGTAGAACAGCAGTTCTTTCAGAATATTTTAGGGGGGGGGGGGGAGAGAGAGGGGTAAAAGTATATATTTTTTAATAAAGATTCCATTTCCCTAGGGGTGGGCAGTAGATGTTTTTAAAAGAAACCCTGCTGTCATAAGCTTTATTTGTGAATGAGTGTAGTTTCTCATTGATTAGTTTGTGAGCAATATAAAATCTTATACCAGTAGCATAGACACAGGCATGATTGGATTAATAATTCCTAATCACCTTTAGTTAAAGTAAGATTAAAGAACCCTTAAGAAATTAAACTTTTAGTTTTGTTTATTAGGTAGAGTTTATTTTGTGTCAAATAGTTTGATATTTATGAACATTTGCAATGTATAACTGTGCTGTCAACCTTCATTAAAATATTGTAAACATTTAGGTTGAAAGAGTTCCCTTTATAGTTGATCCAACAAAGAATTGAAATTTGAATGGAAAATATTGCAGTTTATCATTTTGCTGTTGACAGATTCACACATATCTTTCTGCTCCTGATGATTGTGAAACCCCTAAGAAGCTACTTAACACAAATTTGATGTCTTTCCTGTGTTCATAATGGGATTGTACTTTTAATACAAATATTTTTTACCACTGTTAAATTATTTTTTGCATTATAATCATTTTGTTTATAAAACCAATAGTCCAGGTATGTAATTTATATTTTCAGGTTAAAGTTGCTCTAAACATAGCTAGAAATATCTGTTGTTTCATTTTTTTCCTTCATTTATGGTTCAATTTTAAAAAACATTAGCTTTAAGTTGAATACTAGTTTTTGTATAGTATAAAGGGAACTAACCCAAGCTCCTTTGTTCATTAAAGTTCACATATCAATAAAGTTATTTATGTTTAAATTTAAACAAATTTACATTGAAACATGAACTCATTTAGCCACCGTGTAAGATACCATAATTTTTTTTTGTCTTTGACATGACATGAATGTTAAAATATATTGAATATGCTTGTTGTTGAATTATAAGAACGCATTAATACAAACCATGTGTCCATTAAAAGTATTTGTATACCAAACTGTGTTTGCTCTTATTCATCTACTGTTTGTGAGTGACACCTCCCCCCCCCCCCTCTTGTAGTTTTATGAATGAAGTAACTGAAGATTGTGTGAGCTGATCAAATGTCTGCCTTGATTTTATGAATGAAGTAACTGTCACTGTAACTAAATGAAAAAATGTGGTACTAAGCAGTGACAAAATTTACTGAAAGCAAGTAGCCTACCATACATTTATAAGCTATTTCTTATCTATCCCTAAAAGTGATACGTAATAGCAACCCATAAATATACACAGCCTAAATGTTTTTCTATTTAGTCCGAACTTTCTATTGTTTAATACTTATTTCTAACCACACATAAAGTCAAACGCGCACATACATAACATGTTGTCTATTTTGGTCCGAATTTTCTAGAATTGTATTCTTATTTTTAACCACCCATAAACACGCTCATTCATAACCAACATGTTAGTCTATTTCGATCCAAACTTTCTAGAATTTTCCTCTTATTTCTATAACGCATAGCAGACCCACGCACTGTTCTTTGAAATTCCCTTTCATTAAAATTTCAATGGAAATTCCCAAAAACCAATGAATAGAAAGACAATTTTACTTGAAGGTTCGGTTTCGTTTTGTGGTGAATCTTTATTATGAGGAGAATTAGGCGAGTCATTTCGCTTCATGGTAACAGAGAAACTCGCAGTCCACATTCAACTTCTAATACGGTAAGTGCTTTGAGTTACTTCACTTTTTTTGTTGTAAAAACAAAATGATAGTCCATTTTTAGTTGATTTGATATTTAAAATTAATACGTGGAGGCATTAAGCAACTTTAATAAATCTGTATTATAAATAATTTTTATTTTTACTGTTAAATTAAGTATCCGAGTTAAATTATTGCTAAATTAAAGGTTTAGAATTTGAATTTTACCATTCAATAAGTCAGTAGGCCTACAGTGTTTGAAGGCTATGGTAATGGTTCATATCGATTTTGGATGTTTATTTTTAAAATTGCTACTTAACTTGCTGTAGTGCCATAACTAGAGTTTAATTTATGGTGGCTATACTGGCATGAAAATAAAAACAGATATGCTTAGCTTGATAATACATAGTGGCTATGTTTATCTCGATATTTATTTTTAGGTCAGGATTTCGAGTACGGTTAGCGTCAAAAACCGTGAAGGCCTACAATTTTTGTAAAATACACAGCCTATAACTAGAACAGTTAGAACAGCATAGTGTTTTAGTTAAAGGCATTGGATTTATTTTAGTAATCTTTAGTAATCAGCTTACAGATTATCAAATTTTCTTCTTTGTTTTTAATTTGTAAATATTGGAGATTTCCCCCAACTTTATTTCTTGTTAACAAAGTATGCGCCAAATGGCCCCCGTTGACTTTAACTTCAGCCTGCTTTTTTTTCTGGATTTGCTTCCATAGCATTTGTCCATCCAAGAACAGTTATTTGATTTTTGAGTTTTCTTTACTAGATAGGTTGCTGTCCCTTGCTTAAGGGGGGAACAAATTCAGGAATTTTGGAATTAATTAGCAAATAAACAACCTGATAAAACATCAATAAACCCAATGGTCATACATTGACGTTGTTGTAAATAATTGTCTGAAGCATGTTGGATTCGGTTATTTACGTAAATTACCAGAACGGGTTGTTTTAAGTCTTCGTCGCCCCACAAACATAGGACATTATAAACGTAGCAAGAGATTGACAAAATTGCCTCCCCTTATCGCTATACATTGTTACATAAGGCCAGACTTCAATCCCCTCCTCTAAAAAAAACAACAACATTCACCACCCAAAGAAAAAAAATGTAAATTTGGTGGGACCTCCCCCCCCCCCCCTTTCTCTCTCTCTCTCGTCACAGGCGTAGAAAATTAATATTGATTCGGCTGCAAATATCCAGGCTAGCAACAGAATTTGAGACCCGCTGTTAAAAACATCAAAGTAACAGCACGAAAACTGATGAAACTGTGACAGGCTGTTAAACGAAATAGGCGTGGCATCTCTGCTGTTTTAATCAATGGCTTCACGGGAAATTACGGGTACGACATGATATCCACTTAAATTTTCCATGCTTATTTTAAATTTGCAGGTACGTTTTATTTATCATGTTAAAAATAAGAAAGAAAAAAAATACTATTTTAAAGTAGTATCTTTTAATCTTACAGTATTGATTTAGTATTAATCCGGCTTAGGAGTCATTCATATACGACGACACACTGGACGATTTTACAATACCCCCCCCCCCACCCCCCCCCCCCCCCCCCCCAATCCCAATCGTCGCCCGCAGCCAGAACCTTATTATCATTATACCCATACAATCACGCCACACCCCAACCTACAATCCCCCCCCCCCCCCCCCCCCGCCCCCCTTCAAAATTTCAGTTTTTTTTTTTTAATATCGATTTTTTTCTAAAATGTTTACTGAGCACGAATTTAATTGAATATATTAAATACCTTCCTCTTTTACTCATTAATTTAATACTGAAATAACTTTAGGCAAAGAACTGTATGACAGACTAAGCAAGTATATTCTGACAGAGGAGCAGCTACGTTCCAATGGCTACCCACGTCCATCTACAGATGGCAGCAGCAAGGCTATGATTTATAAAAAAGATAACATCGATATCCCATTAAAGGGTAAGAAAAAAATTATAAAATAATATAAAGAAATGTATCGGTCTTGCTTTTAGATTTTATTGAAGAGGGTGACATAGGGACATGTCATTAATAATTAGCATGAAAAAGGACTGTATTTTGGTACATTTAACCCTAACCCTATAGGCGGATAAGAAGTTGTTTTTGCATTTAAATATTCAAACATCTAGACATCAGAGCCCGAGCACTTTTCGAATCAGTGGCGGGGCTGATCTCGACAAGACCCAAATTTATTAAATACTAAATCATTAATCTAGACCAGTAGGCTATTATAATCAGTTTCTTCCAGGCTTTGCCCCCCCCCCCCCCCCGAAGAAAGTCTACCGCCCCCTGAACGAAATGCAATTTATATAGAAAATATATACTTATAACAGTGTCCGCCCCCCCCCCCCCCCCGAAAATTTCAAGCCCCCCCCCCCCCCCCGGAGAAAAAAGTTTGGAAGGAACACTGATTATAATACTATATTATTTTTTATTATTTTTTAATCAGATGGGTGCGTGCTGAGAATAATAAATATGAACATTTACTATTCAATCATAGATTTAATTGTGGAGATTACGTAATGGATAATTAATTTTCTAGAAAATGCAAGTGCTTGCAGACGTTGTGGTAAAATTTACTGCGTGGCAGTAGATGGCAGTCCTGCAATACAAGAAAAGTGTAGATACCACTTTGGCAATGCTCACAAACAAGGAGGTCAGTAATCTGAGTAATGTATATAAATACATCACATAATAATGCTTTTAATAGGGAAAATCAAATTAAATAATCACATAATAATGCTTTTAATAGGGAAAATCAAATTATATGCCACTAAGAAGTGTATGTTAAAGAACTCCATTTTTTAACAACAACAAAAAAACAATTAGATCTAAATACATGGTTGTAATATTAATTATTAAATCCTATTTTTAAAATCTTAAGACTTAAGTTGCTGTAAACTGTAATCACTCACAGTACACAGTAATCAGGCAGCTCTACAGAAACACAACACCTGCCCCCAGACCAAGCAGAAAATATGTAGATCTATAAAACGAGGCGTCCCCGTAGCGTAGCTTATGCCGCTATTTAGTTTTATTTTCTACTTTCCAGTAATTCATAATTTGTTTATTCTACACTACCTGAAAATATTTGCTTTAAAACTATCAGTAGCTCATATATATATATATATATATATATATATATATATATATATATATATATATATATATATATATATATATATATATATATATATATATATATATATATATATATATATATATATATATATATATATCCAACCCTCCTCCCGCCCCCTTCCTCTCTCTGCAATCTGGTGAGCTGTGGTTCACGCTAAATGTTTACAATCGAAGAGCCGGGTCGAATTGGTGATGGCTATTAGGGGCAGATAATTTAGTTTGAAACGATTTAAAACTTAGGGAAGATAACTAAGGGTAGGCTGCCTTCACAGAGGGAGGGGGGATAATATATATATATATATATATATATATATATATATATATATATATATATATATATATATATATATATATATATATATATATATAATTTAACCACTGTCCGCTCCCTGGAAATTTTAACTGTTAGCCCCCCCCCCCTCATCTAAGTTTTAATTCCCCACTGTTGTCTCTGGGGGAAAATGTCTTAAAGAAACCTATAGTTATAGCAAGTGAACATAACTGTAATAATTAGTCTAAAATTATAAAAGCATTAAGAATATCTAAATGTTGACTAAAGAAGAAATGTTATGTATCTCTGTGTATTATCTTTCACTAGAAAAGTGTAAATTATAACTAGCAGATTTCTCTATCAATAGGTTCAGTTGCTCGTTATGCTTGCTGTGGTGAAAAAGTGGGAAGGCAAGGATGTCAAGTAGCTGATGTAATGATTTTTTAAAAACAGTTTTAAGTATTTAGTTTTTATTATATTGTCCGATAACACAATGTGCCATTACTATATTTTAATAAATAAAATCTGTCAAAGATTTAAACAGATGGTCTACTTGTGTTTATGTAGATGTGTTATTTTTATCATTATTAAAATTTGATAATGTGTATAATCAATGTATTGTTACTAGATTCATATAATATCCTTAAAAGAACAATTTAAAACCAATCTTAATGCTTAAAAACATTATTTTTAAAATGAATTTTTAAAGTAATTTTTGCTTTAAATCCATTTAGCACCATGTTCATGCAAGAAATAAGGCAAACATGAATGGCTATGTGAAAACTTTGCCTGGATTTGATCATCACATATATTCTATTGATTGTGAAATGGTAAAAATTAACAAACTATTTTTAAATAAAATGTACATACACTATTTTTAAATACCAACCTAGAAATATGTTAGCAAAGTATAGTGAACAAATTTAGAAAGTACAAAAAAAAATGTTTGAATCAAAATGTTTTACTTTAATTTGCTGTCAAAGAAAAGAATAATATTTTCTAACTTTAATTTCTATTTTACTTACAATTTTTTAATGGATTTAAAAACACTGTGCACAGATTTACACAAAGGCAGGATTGGAGTTAGCTCAAGTTACAGTTATTGATGAGGACTGTAAAACAGTGTATGAGAGCTTGGTAAAGCCAGACGCAGATATCATTGACTACAACACAAGGTTTTTTTATCTAACATCTGCCCATGTATTGTGTATTAAACATTAATGAAGGCGTTGATTTACTTTAAATTTTAGATAAGAAAAAAAATCAACGCTCCTGTAATGTTTAAAAAAAACGAAAGTACCTCATCGCAAATATATATAAATACATACATACATATATATATATATATATATTAACAATGTGATATATATATATATATATATATCACATTGTTAAAATATTGAAAATTAATAAATGTAAAATGGACAGCATTAAAAACTCAATAGTACTTGTATAAAAAGCACTTTACAAAAATTTAAAAACCATGATCTTAGGTTTAGTGGTATCACAGCAGCAGACATGAAAGATGTTACAACTACTCTACATGATGTCCAGGCAGTTATGTTGAGCATGATCTCAGATAAAACAATCCTCGTAGGCCATAGTCTGGAGAGTGATCTTGTAGCCCTTAAGGTATGTGCTCATGTGATGATACAAAATTTTTAATTTGTCATATTGCATTTTAATGATTAACTCTTAATTCTCAAAGTCGTACCTGTTGGTTGACCCTTATTTGTGGTGGACATTGCAGCGTCTACAATTATCTTATCTTTACCTAATTAAATTATGGAATAGACATTAGTGTTCTAGTGACCATGAAGACCACCTTTGATAAGTGAAACACCTGGCCTAATGAGGTTTAATGATTGCTGTTGGGGGGATATATTTTGACCACAAAATCTTTTCACAAATTCAAAAGTTTTTACATAATAAACACTAAAAATCCACTTCATCTGCTCAGCTGTATTAAAGAGGTTTAAATTTACCAATTATGATAATAATGATAATAATAAACAGCAACTGTTGAAGAAATGACCTTACTTTATCCTAATAAAAGAAATTAACATATTAAAAACAAGATCAAAAAAATTATTTTATCACCTCATAAACAGTCATCACAATCACACATTTATGCTTCCTATTCTTCTAGTACTGTTGCATAACATATTCTAATTTTGCAAAAATTAATTAAGATGTTATTCTATTAATGTCTTTTTAAAAATGCATTTTAAATTTGTTACAAACATCCAAATGAGACAAAAGCCACTTTGCTTAGTCACATTTGACAAAAAAATGGCTTTATTATTATTAATGTTGCATTGCATTTGTATTAAATTTCAACTGATGATTCTTTTATTCTCTTACTTAACTAGCTTATACACAGTACAGTTGTAGACACATCCCTAGTCTTTCCACATCCACGTGGGTTACCCTACAAGAGGGCTCTGAGGAACCTCGTAGAAGAAAAGTTGCAAAAAAGAATTCAAACACACAGTGAGGACTTTCAATCGGAATTTATTTTTAAAATAAGAATGACAAACAATTATAATGAAGATTTCTTGTAAATAAAAGATCGTGCAGTCCAAGGGCCAAATGTATAATAGGGATAACTTTCTAAACTATGTCATAAAAATGTGACTTATATTTAGATTTCTAAATGAAAAAGGCATAAAATAGGAATTATACTAAAAAACTTTAATTTGTTGGTAACTTTATTTCAGCTGGAGGTCATGACAGTAAAGAAGATGCCGTAGCTTGCATGCAGTTGATACTTTACAAAGTTAAAGGATAGTAAAAGAGAAATGCTAACGTTTATGAGACCACTGTGATATTAAATGTGATTATTTTAGATATTAAATTAGACATTGAGCCTGTTTTTTTTTTTCAATTTTTTAAAAATATAATGTATTTAGTTTTATATAACTATTAATTATTTTAAAATATATATTTATTTGAAATCAATAAACATGTTGAAATAGGTTATTTTTTAAAATTATTATTAACAAGGATTTATAATTATAAAATGTTTTAATTACAAATATTTTATTGTATATGACTTTTAATTGTATATAAAATTCAAAGGCGTAGCGACCTATTCTGGTGATCGGGTGGACAATCAATTTTGCACCCCCTCCCTCCCATTTCTAAACATACTTATTCCTGTCTGTGCAAAAGCACCTCACCCCCTTGTTGGAAAGTTATACGGCGCTTCTTTCCAGTTACTATCCTGTAACATTTTTTAATTTCGGTGCCACAAAATTGATATAGAAAACAGTTAAATCAGTGTGTAAAGCGTTATAGTCATTTATTTTTGTAACTTTGACTGTGTATAATTCAGTACTTCAGCTTAAAATGAGCTTTTAAATTAATTTTTCTGCCCCTTTTGTGTGCCCCCTTAGTGTTGGCGCTCTGGGGGTAGGAGGGGGCCCTCCCCTTGCTACAAAACTAAATATTTTATAACCCTATATTTAACTAGGTATTTAAAAGATTTGAATAATGATATTTCATGTGTAAACTCTATATTTAAAATGATATTAAGTGAAATTGTTATATATTTATACATATATCTATACATATATAAATATATATATATATATATATATTTATGTATATATATATATACATATATATATATATATATTTATGTATATATATATATATATATATATATATGTATATATATATATATATATATATATATATATATATATATATATATATATATATATATATATATATATATATATATATATATATATATATATACATATGAGCGGGTGAATGGTTTATTTTATTATTATTTTGTTGTGTGCGAATCTGTGTGAGAATGTTGAACTTGACAGCGGCTACGGGGTTTTACTTACGGCAAGTCAAGGACTATATAAGGCTGACTGAAAGCTTGGGCCTTTTCCTTTTTTTTTGACCTGAGCCAGAATGTAGATCCAATCAGAGCGGATCAGTTCTCAGTGGGCTCTTGGCGCGCCACATGCTTGGAGTGAGGTTGCATCGGCAGCTTGGTTGGGTGTTTTGGATGTTTTGTCTGTTTAGTGTTTGGTTATGTTTTGTTACCTATAGTTTTTTGATTACATTTTACATTTCTTTACTAAATTTGGTTCCTGTTTTTCATTTAATAAATATTCTAAATAAAGTTGTTTTTTTCTGTTATTTTTAGTATAAGACTAAGGTTAAGGGTTTTAATCAGTCTGGGGTCGACAGGCTTGCACTGACCTAATAGTTTATTTACATAAACCTTTGGACGTAGTATAGTCAACCCCCCCCCCCCCCCCCCCCCCCAGTAGGTGCTTACAAATATATATATATATATATATATACATATATGTATGTATATGTATATATATATGTATATTTATATATGTATATTTATATATGTATATATTTATATATGTATATATACATAAATATATATATACATATAAATATATATATATATATTTTTTTTTTTTTTTTGTATTTATACTGAAAAGTAATTATTGCGACGTAGAAGTGAGCAATGTTACAAAGTAAAATTGGAACTTCTTAAAAATTAGTTTGCTCACCAGATATTATTTTTCAATTTTAAACTAGAGTGAATTTTAAATATTAAATTAAATAAATTTTAGCTAATTTTCAAACATCCGGATATATATATTGAAAACGCATTGGTACCTAACAACACACGACAATAACTATGTTATTTCAAAAATAAAACTGCATGTTTAACGAGTTTGGTAAGATAGTACAGCTTGTCTCCCTTGAAATTAACTAAACATAACTAAGCACAAAATAGTATTACCTCGGTGAGCATTTGCATGTCATATTTTCTATAGAAATCCTTTACACACAAAAAAAGCGGTGCTTTCGGGTAATGGTAATAGACTTGAAAGTCTATGTAATCCTAGTAAATTTTTAAAAATTAAAAAAAAAAATACGGCAAGTGATAAAAAAGTTACATTTGTAAAAAGGAAAGCTGTTGGGGAACCATCTTCTTCTTCTTTTTCGTTCTTAATTTTAGTGTTAAGGATACGTGTCAACTGGTTATGCGCAATACCGGCGCCAGGTTATTTAGCGCCCTAGGCTAAACTTACTACATTTTTTTTGAGCCCATATATATATATATGTATATATATATATATATATATATATATATATATATATATATATATATATATATATATATATATATATATATATATATATATATATATATATATATATATATATACATAGGTAGCGCCTATGAGGCCATTGACTCCGATTTCAGCCTGCTTTTCTTTTTGGATTTGTTCCATAGCCTTTGTCCAACCAAGAACACAATACAAGTTTGCAGTAGTGGTTTGATTTTGGAGTTGCCTCTGTCCGAGAGTTCGAACTCGAGACTTTTCGGTTTAGCGACCATGAGCTTTACCGACTCGACCACGCCCACCAACCGGAAGTCATTTTGTACTTATTTCTCAAATGTTAAATAATATTCAATTTTGATTGAAAATATGCTTCCTGGCAACAACCATTTGGAACCAGCTTTTCAATCTTATTTTGAACTTGTACTAGATCTATAGGAGGCGTGGTCTAGTGGCAAAGAAGGCACATACAAAAGACACAAGTAAATTAAGCTTTTAAAAAACAACGAAGTGTTACAACGTCTAATGGAATTTAGCTCAACTTCGACGGTTTGATCCGCAGTTCGTTCTATGATACATGTTCGTTCAACGGACCGATTTCATAGTCGCGGTTGAGTTCGTTCTAGCGATTGTTCGTCCCATGGGGCACTCGGGGTAGGGTGTAGTAATACACAACTTATACAGCAATAGTGAGTACCATTTAATGCGGACCACGAGAGGAATTTGAACTATGCGCGATGAACTTTGACCCCCTATAAGGTTATTCATGTTGGTAATTAATCCGCAGAGGCAGTTGTACTCAAACGGGTGAAACTTGATGCACATAATTGACCGGATATTTGTGCTTTTCTCTGAACTGATTAGCGGGTTGTTTGGGTGAAAATTAATTAAATGTCAGGAATTTATTTTATTTTTTTTGGTTTCTGGCATTATCTGACTCATGCATGGCTGTGAAGAATCACACGTGTGTTGCCAGAACAATATGGACTAAACAATGCTCAAGTCACAGTTTGTTTTTAAAAACATGGGCTCAATTATTAATTTAGACATCTCTAATCGTCTGATGATATTTGACCAAAAGCGTTTCATTCAGAGATTTTCCTCAGGTGGGGGATGGGGATGGACACTGGAAACTTTTGGGGTGAGAGGTGAACTTAAATTTCCAGGGGGGGGGGGGGGGGGGGGGTGGGATTAGGTTCAAAGTATATATTTTCTATGTAGATTGTATATTTTTTTCTATTTTGTTCGGGAAGGGGAGGGGGTTCAGTGCCCCTTGTAATAGATTGAAATAATTGTGAGGTCAAGGGAACTCACTCTTCTGTATTAGTATTATATTTATATTGTTATCTTGAGTGATGTCCCTTACATGTTGTTATGTATATAAGTCTCTCGCCACTTCCGACTTCCTCTCTTTGCATCATGGCGTCTGTAAATAAAGATTGTTAACACCAACACGGCTTCTCGTCATTGTTTGTCAATCTATCTCATTGGCGACGAAGGATAAACATCTACTAGAAAGAGCACCTACTTACGCAAAAAAGAGGTTTGCTAGAGCTTATTAGCTAATTATTTCTAGAATAATGGCGCTGTATGGCCAAATAAAGCAATTTGATTCGAATGATGAAATCATTCAAGATTACCTAGAGAGGTTAAGCTTTTACCTAGAAGCTAACGACGTGACGATAGAAGCCAAAAAGAGAGCTATTTTGTTAACAGTCATAGGGCCTCAACAATTTAGGCTACTAAAGGACTTATGCGCTCCAGCTAGTCTAAATACCAAGAGCTTTAACGAGCTGAGCAAATTGCTAACAGACCACCATGCGCCTACCCCATCAAAGTTTCTATGTAGAGCTAGATTTGACAGTAGGACTCGTCAGCCAAACGAGTCAATATCAGCATATGTTGCTGCTTTATGTCATCTAAGTAGATTTTGTGAATTCGGCGACATGCTGTCTGACAGACTATGTGAAAAGTTTGTGACAGGTGTAAACAGTCCTGATATTCAAAGAAAGTTGCTGCTCGAGTCAGATCTAACATTAGAAAAAGCAATACAACTCGCAACTTCAATCCAGCAGTCATCAGATGCGGCGAGATCTTTAGCACCTTCAGAGATCCATGCAGTAAACAGCAGGTTAGTCAATAAACATCAACCCCATCAGAGCATTCCAACTTATGCTAAACAGCCTGCTCGTTCAAATCCTAGATCTAAATCTAGTAATAATTATCAAAAATGTCATCGATGCAAGGGTCCCCATGCATCTCATCGGTGCAAGTTCAAGTTAGCTACTTGTTATAAGTGCAGTGAGCAAGGTCACATTGCTAAGGCCTGCTTCGCAAAGTCTTCGTCTGTTGCTAAATCTAGCCAGTCAAGACAGTACCGCAACCAAAGGCAGCACTATGTTAACTCTCACCAAGACTACCTAACCCAACCAATGAACCACTCTACCTGTGAAAATGCTCAAACTGATTCGCAGCCGGATTTCAACCTATTCTCTGTGAAATCAATAAGTCATGCTCCCATCAATGTACAAGTTAATATCAACGGTAAGAGCATCAGCTTCCAACTTGACACTGGAGCATCTCTATCAGTCATAACAAAGAAAGATTTTGACGCTGTCACAGGAGGATCAGTGCCTCTACAGCCATGTCACAAGTGTTTAACAACATACACTGGTGACAATGTTCCGGTAATAGGAGAGTGTATGGTTCATGTAAGTTATAATGGTCAAAGTGTTAAACTTCCTCTTCTTGTGGTTGAAGGAAATGGACCGCCATTACTAGGTAGGAACTGGTTAAGTAATCTTAAGTTAAATTGGGAGAGTATTTGCTCATTGAAGAATGTAAGAGAATCTAGTCTTACTTCACTAGATAAAGTTATATCTGAAAATAAAAGTGTTTTTGGTAATCATGGATTACTAAATGATAGAACAGTGAAGTTAAGCATTAAAGACACAAATCCAAGATACTGCAAAGCTAGAGTTCCACCTTATGCAATGAGGAATAAAATTGAAAATGAGCTAAGTAGATTGGAATCTAATGGCATCATAAAGAAGGTAGACTATTCCGATTGGGCGACACCCATTGTGCCAGTGTTAAAGAAGGATGGTTCTATAAGAATTTGTGGAGATTATAAAACTACACTGAATAAGCAAATAGAGCTAAATAGGTACCCTATACCTAACATTGAGGAAATTTCTTTGAATTTGGCAGGAGGAGACAAATTCACTGAATTAGACTTTAGTCATGCTTACACTCAACTAGAACTGCATCCAGATTCAAAAGTCTATACGACAATAAACACACATAAAGGACTCTACCAATATGAAAGACTATGTTTTGGCATATCATCTAGCCCTGGAATTTTCCAAGCTGTCATGGACAGTATTTTTAAGGACATTCCAAATGTTTGTGTGTACTTTGACAATGTGTACATAACTGGTAAGAATGACACTGAACATCTTAAGACACTTGATAAAGTATTGAAAATTGTTGGTGAAAAAGGTTTAAAGATAAACAAAGATAAATGTCAATTCATGCTGACAGAAATTAGTTTTCTTGGTTATATATTAAGCAAACAAGGCATCAGACCTCAACCTGAGAAAACAAAAGCCATTAAAGAAGCACCCAAACCTGAAAATACCCAACAACTAAGAGCTTTTTTGGGCTTAATAAATTACTATGCAAAGTTCATAGGAAATCTGTCTGGTAAACTATCACCACTGTACAAGCTGCTACAGAAAAATGCAACTTGGCACTGGGGTAAACAACAAGAAGCTGCTTTTAATACAGCAAAAGAGGCTTTGTCTGCTGACACCTTACTAACTCACTATGACCCAGGGAAAAGACTTATATTAACATGTGATGCTTCACCAGATGGTGTAGGAGCAGTCTTGTCCCACATGGATGAGAAGGGTGACAGACCCATTGCTTTTGCCAGTAGATCTTTGAACCAGGCTGAGAAAAATTATTCTCAGTTAGATAGGGAAGGCTTAGGCATCATTTTTGGTGTTAAGAAATTTCATAAGTTTCTGTTTGGTAGGAAGTTCACCATCTTTACAGATCATAAACCATTGCTAGGTTTATTTGGAGAAAACAAAACCCTACCTGAGCATGCCTCTCCAAGAATTCAAAGATGGGCTATCACACTAACTGCATACAATTATGAATTGAAATACAAACCTGGATCTGAAAATAGTGCAGATAGTCTTAGTAGATTACCTTTAAAAAACCAAAGCCTGAGCTATGTACCAGAAGATGTATTTGTTCTCTTCACTATCATGGATAACTCCAATATAAATGTGAATAATATTAAAAGAGAAACACAAAAGATGAGTGCTTAATAAAAGTATATGAGCACTGTATGAATGGTTGGCCTGAAGAGTCTGTGAATGATGACTTAAGGCCATATAAAATAAGAAATTAAAACCCTTTGTGAAGATAATATAAAAGATGGAGAAGATGCAGTCCATTATCAGTCAGAGTTGCCTAAACAAAGTATTTGTAACTTAATAAATGATTATGGTGATATGGCAATTTCAAATGTTTTAAAGAGAATACATTAGTAAGAAGGAATGTGATCATCAAACAACTTTGCTAACATCATTAGCACTTACAGAAACTAAAAGGGTAACATCAAACAGAAGAAGCTAAATGTGACAATGAAAGAGTAAACAGGTTATTAGCCAAATACCGCACAACTCCTCATATAACAACAGATGTTGCACCATGTGAATTGCTATGCGGTAGGAAAATTAAAACTCATCTTGACCTACTACATCCAACTGTTCAAAGGTCTGTTTCCCAACATCAACATACACAAAAAAATAAATCATGACAAATCATCCATAGAAAGAGAATTTGCAGTTAATAAGAATGTGTATCTAAGAAATTATGGGAGAAAGGAAAAATGGATACCAGGTCAAATTGTTCAATGTACAGGACCTGTGCCTTATAAAGTTAAAAATAACTTGTGCAGATAATAAGTGTGAATCTGTCAATCCCACCAAATCTGATCAGTTCACACCAACTCAGTTGTTCCACAACCAAGTTCTGTTGATATGAGTGAACCAAGTTGTCTGGAGTCAGAAAATGTAAATTCTGGAGTTAATGATTTAAATCCTAGACCTCCTGAGATAGAGAATCCAAATGGTCAGAATCTTGAGTCACCAAATCAAAAGCCACTGAGAAGGTCAAGCAGGACAATCAAAGTCCCAAATAAGTTAGACCTATGATTTTAAAGGTCAAAAGGACTTTGACATCATTGTTTTGTATCTTGATTATGTTGTAGCATATTGTGCATTGTTTGTAGGGATGTAATCTACCATAGTGTTCATGTTACAATATAATTGGTGATTTTAGGATACTATCAATTGTTCTATTGAGAGATGTGTTATTGTGTTCTAAGGGTAAAGGGATGTAATAGATTGAAATAATTGTGAGGTCAAGGGAACTCACTCTTCTGTATTAGTATTATATTTATATTGTTATCTTGAGTGATGTCCCTTACATGTTGTTATGTATATAAGTCTCTCGCCACTTCCGACTTCCTCTCTTTGCATCATGGCGTCTGTAAATAAAGATTGTTAACACCAACACGGCTTCTCGTCATTGTTTGTCAATCTATCTCACCCCTCTTACCCCTCCCCCGAAGAAAGTCTCTCTCCCCCCGAACAAAATGGAATGGAAAATGTTGTCCCCCCCCCCCCCCCCCCCCGAAAAATTCACATTTTGAGAAAAATATCGTGCACAGTTCTCGGAAATCGCTGTTTATTTCCTTGCAGGAATTTCTTAAAATTACATGTGAAGAGTTGCCTACAGTTAATTTGAAACGAAAGTCGACACTTGTTCAAATTGCAGCAATTACTTTAATCACAGTTTTCCTACATCAGATTCAGAGGGTATAAAAACAGACAGGCCAACAACATTAGGCTCGTATTGCAGGACAAAGTAGCAGCCTACCCGTGCACAATGTCGAGTTCTCCATTACGTGCTGTCGTTTTTGTCACGATCTTTGCTGTAGCGTTTGCTGCGACATTTCGTTCGAATGGTGACTAGCGTTTTGATAATTTTGTTTTTCATGCCAAATGAGTTATATATATATATATATATATATATATATATATATATATATATATATATATATATATATATATATATATATATATATATATATTAATTTAAATTTAAATTATTACAGTGTAAAATTGTTTTTTCGTATATACTTTAGTTAATTCAACATTTTAAAACGTATAAGTGAGTCTTTTTAAAATCTCAACATTTTGAGTTGTCCATCCCATTCGAGAAAGCCCGGCATGATGAACTCAGTTTAAGCATTGAATTGTAACGTGTCTTTCTTCATGTGTCCAGATCCATGTCCAGCAAACGTCAAGCCTGGCGGCTCCTGGTATTTACCTGGCTGTGTCCAGTGTTTTTGTCACAAGGACGGGTACGAATGTCACAGGTAAAAAAATGTTTTTGTGAGCTTTTTTTACATCACGAAGTCTGTTGGTGGATAGAGTAATTGCAGCACATCTTGTTAGTCAATGTACACCCAAAGGGCAACTCGTGTACAATGATTTTTTTGTAACGAAATATTAAAGACATTAAGTCGCTTTGACAATTAAAAAAATCTTTTAATTTGTTCAACCTGTAACGTTCGGTTGAGAAAGTTAAAAAAAAAAAAGACTTATATTTTGAACATTGAGTATCAACTTACTCTAATAGCTTTACAATATTTAATTTATAAAAAAATTTGAAATGATACAGAAATAAAATGCATTTATAACAAACTTTCAATACGAAAAAAGTTGTTGTTTTTTTTAGCGCAAGTAATAGAAAATAAAAATGTTGGTCTAAAACAGGCTGTTGAATTCATTATATTAGCCATGTTTGTATTACAAGTTAGTGCATAATTAAAAGATTCTCCGTGCACATTTTTAATCTTTAAAATTTAAATTTTAAAGATTAAAAAATACCTCAATGACAATAATCCTAAATGGTCGATTTGTCCGTGGCTGAAATTCCATAGATTTGACTTACTTGGATAAACGCTGCCATAAACATTACATAGTATTTTACACACATTTCTAAAGCAAAATAAGTTTTCACCTGTGACGCTTTTATGTTGTTTTTTTTTTTTTTTTTCGGGTCATGTCCAGATAATCCCCAGCAGTAAGGCAAAAGGCTCATGGGTGAAAAGTTAAGCACCCACCATTTGTGACCTATTTCTGATGTTTAGACATAATTTGAATATCTAAACCCACGTCATAAAAAAAATTCATAAAAGACGTTTTAATAACAAGCTTTTATGTAACAATGCACTAAAAAGTAGAAAATAAATTATAGACTACTATTTAAATAACTATAAAGAAAAGCGTGGGTCACTTTAGTATCTATTGGATACCTTTACTAATGTTAAGGAAGACACCCACGCTTTTCTTTATAGTTATTTAAATAGTAGTCTATAATTTATTTTCTACTTTTTAGTGCATTGTTACATAAAAGCTTGTTATTAAAACGTTTTTTATGAATTTTTTTTCAGTACTTTACATGTTTTATTTACAATAGAGTTACATGACTAAAAACCATTGCGCGCCTACTGAACATCACGTTCAGTAGGCGCGCAATGGTTTTTGAACGCAGCCATTACGTGATGGCGCAGCTATTGAAGGTGATGACGCGTGTGGTGTGGTTGGCTAGATATGCCTACTAATTCGGTCCAAATTTTAATTAATTCATTAAAAATCAATTAGGCATCCAATTAAGTCAAATTTAGTTTCAGATTGCATTGTCTTCATGTCTTGACCCACGTGCCAACTGTGAATCGTATCGGTCAAGTAGAACTGTCCGAATTTTCACTCCTGCGTTTCCGTCTAGACAGACTGACGACAGACTGACGACAGACTGACGAGGAAGTGAGTTAAATAAAAGCTTGTAAAAACAACTCGTTATCTGACTCGAGGGTTAGAGTTAGAGGTACCAAAATAAAGAGTTGTTCATGCAAATTTTTAATGGCATGTCCCAATCTCACCATTCTCAATAAAAATCTAAAAGTACAAGTATTCTCTTGTTTTTTTTTTTTTTTTTTTTTTGTGTAGAGAGGTTTAATTTTTTGGCGGGGTTTATCTGGATACAATCCGTTGCAAATAGGCCTAAATGATAAAATTTCGCGTAATAATTTATTTGTTTCGTTGGTCTGGACATCTCTTTAACGTTTTGCTTTTGTCTTTCCTTAGCTGCGGGGTGTTTGCGGAACCTTTCGACAAAAACAACTGCTACAAGCAGCAAACCATTGGACTGGTCTACCCCGACTGCTGTTTTAACACAGTCCTGTGTCGAGGTGATCCCTGCTTCAATGAAAACACGATGGCGACAGTGCTGAAAAACGAAAAACTAATTACCGGCGTCAAGTCGAAGAGAGTTAAAACAACCCAGAGGAAAACTGGGAAGAAAAATAAAGGCAAGAGAGTATAGAGAGATATTGAAATCGGAGGACAAAATTCTTACTAAAAACTAAGGGTGCATTAATTTCGTTTTTAACATAACACTTGGAGACAATTGAAAATTAAAAACATTCAAACTAAAAACAAATTTACTTCATTTATTGCTGCTGTCAAGATATGGAAGTCACGCTAAAGCTGAAATCAGTCGCATGCCATATTGTTTTTAAGTTTTTGAAAATCAATAAATGATTTGTAATTAGAGTAATTCGCAGTTAAAAAATAATGAACACACTTAGTTTCAACGTGTAAGTAAGCCTATGTCATTTTGTGATTATCTTAATGCAACGTTTTAAAATGTTTCTTTTTTTTACTTTCTCGTATATACGAAGTATAGAGAAAGAATTGTAATCGTGCAAAAAAAAATCGAGATTTTTACAAATCTCGACGTTTTACACCTCACTGATACGGAAAAACATAATTTTGCAATCTTGTCCGTATGTGTGTGTGTCTGTGTGTCTGTGTGTCTGTGTGTAAACACGATAACTTGAGTACCGTTACAGCTAGGTTGATGAAATTTAATATATAAGTATTATATCAAAATCGTAGATCCGTATAAACTTTTGAGCGATTTCCGACAACCGGAAGTGGTACTTTTTCTACTTTGAATTTTTCAAAAGCCTATAACTTGAGTACTATTTCAGATAGATAAATGACATTTCACATGTAAGTAAAAGATCTAATTCTCTACCTTCTGTTAAATTTTGAGTAATTTCCGTTTATCGGAAGTACTTATTTACGCTACTTCCGATTTCTCAAAAACGCATGTAAATTTATAAAGTACTAATAATATTGCGCACTATTATGCACATCTTTATTTAGCGTTCACTTGGTGTGCATTTCTTTTTTCTACGAGATTATATTCTATTTTAAAAAATTTGAGTATTTAAAATGGATTAAAAATCATGTCTAGAAGTCTATATCCCGAGTTGCCATCCCCCGTAGTGTTATATTAGAATATTCGAGAAAGTTTAGGGGAGATCACTCCCGGTTTATTCCTGCTACAAATATACTATCACATCCAGAATATTTTATGTGACACAATGGACCACGAGAGTAAAATAATGTATTGCTCAAGAGCAGGTTCTAACATTTTTAGATAATGCACAGAAACTATTCAACTTGTTAAGTTTATTAACACACATAAAAAGCACATACAAATATTGGACTACAAGTGATATTAAATGTAGAGGAAATATAAAACCGACAACAAAAAAATGAAAAAAAAAAAATACAGCTAACAAATAAAAATGTGATAGAAATAGAAATGCTGATAGAACACATATAGCCAAAATAATTAGAGAAAGTTTGGAAATAAAAAAACATACGACCCGCGTCGTAGCATACGCCGCTATTTAGTGACGGATGGAGAGGTCCTGTCCAAATGGACTGGGTGGGTACACACTGTTGCGCATTCCTGGAGAGTGAGGGAAAGGGGCGGTAGGCGGGTTAGAGAGTCGGTGTGCGTGCGTGGTGTCCCGCATGGTTGGGCGACGTAGAAAATTATATATATATGCAATTAAAAATAAGAAAATAAGCAGTGGCGGAACTAGAAATCAAAGGCTCCCCCGCAAAGAAAAATCTAGGGCCCCCTATATATATATACATATATATATATATATATATATATATATATATATATATACATATATATATATATACATATATATATATATATATATATATATATATATATATATATATATATATATATATATATATATATATATATATATATATATATATGTATATATATATATATATATATATATATATATATACACATATATATATATATATATATGATCTATATCCTGAGTAATTTAGTTTACTTCATTGCAATATATAACCATTCTGAGAAAACAAAACAGAAAAAATTTAGTCCAAACTTATTTTGAATCAAAGATAGTGTCCAAATCAAGCTGGTCAAAAATATATAAAGACGTTAGCTTGATTTGTGAATGGTTTCTCGCGTTATGTTTATTTTTTTCATTTTTGGCTTTTATAATATCAATTTTGAAAACATTGATTTTTATAGCTATACTATTGTATAGTACGTCTTATTTAAGTAACAATTCAGAGAATCAATTGCTTTTTAATATACATAGTACAAAACTATTTAAATGAGCTTCGTGGGCATCATATTTTAAAGAAGGGCAGTAAGTCATGGAAGTAGTGTGAATGTTTACCTACCTTTCAAACTATAGCTCTTGTAGATTTTAAAATATTTTTCTACGCAACAATCTCTGCTATAGTAGACCTGTTTTTTTTTTTTACAAAACCACTTTCAAGATGCATGAAAACATAATTTTTGAAAAAAAAAATGCATTGTTTTTTGGTCGGAACTGGGCCCCTAAACGTCCTGGGCCCCCCCCGCATTGCGGGGTCTGGCGGTATGGTAGTTCCGCCCCTGAAAATAAGTCTAATTTACTTTCTTTAATATAAGCCTTTGTCGCTAAATATGTAAAAGATCTCATGAGCGACCAAAGCTTTTATTAAAGAAAGTAAATTAGACTTATTTTCTTATTTTTCACTGCATTTAAAAGCTTGTTGCTTTAACGTTTTTTTTTAGTGATTCCTAATTTATGAAGTCGACACGACTAAAAATATTTGCTTCAAAACACCATCAGTAGCTTGCAATTTCTGAAACCCGATTACCTGCCCCGTGAAAGCAGCCGTCCGTGACCATATTTTACAGACGACAGCAAGTTATTGTTACCTCCCTTTAGTTTCAAATCCTTTCAAAACTTTATTATCTGCCCTTAACAGCTTTCACTAATTCGACCCGGCTCTACGATTGTAAACATTCGGCGTGAACCACAGCTCACCAGACTGGTTGGGTGATAGCATCTAGCTAGTTATTTCCCCTTCTGTTATTGAATATAGTGATATATAGAGTGATAGAGTGATTTTTTTTATCTCCCCTTAGTGGGTACACATGGTTGCGCATGCCTGGACAGTGAGGGAGGTGGCGGGAAGAGTCGGCGTGCGTGCGTGGTGTTCCGCATGGTTGGTCGACGTATATATATATATATATATATATATATATATATATATATATATATATATATATATATATATATATATATATATATATATATATATATATATATATATATATATATATATATATACAAAAAAATTCGATACAATCTTTTCAATAGCCTAAATATCGTAAAAGAGCAGGATAATGCATGGGAATAGAATTAACTCGCTGAAAAAAAAAGTTCTGTGCTTTTCGGATGTTCTGAAATTTCAAGTCCGATTTATAATGTCATCTTCATAGGATCGAACACACAGCGACAGTAACGCACGTCTACAGCGCATACGATAGGTCAACTGTGGAGGGCAGAGAACACATGATTGCATTAAGTGGGGACAGCATTCCATTAAGGAAAGATAACTCCACAATCAAACAATCTGCCCTGTAAATATGTTGTTTTGTAGACTAAGGCAAAGCAGAAAAAAAGCATCCTGAAGTCAAGAGCCAACAGGCCATATATGGCGCATAACAAGTTGTACGACAAGGAAAAGTTAAAACAGTCAATTGTGTTAATCATCGATCCTATGGTTGTCATTAAGTTGAGTCATCGTATATTTATCGTCAAGTATTGTAATCGTCAAGAATATGTATTCTTATTCTTAAGTTAAATTAATGAACAAACTTATTATACATTCTATATAATGACTAGGAAATGTATGAAATATTAATGCTTTTCGTACTTTGCCTGCCCATTTCATGCATTGTATACATTGCCTAGTTATTCTATAGATATGCAGGATTTTATACATTGCCGGTAACTTATATAATATTGAAAGTATGTTTGTTTGTCCTTTATTCATTACTACACATTAGATCTGATTGCTATGAGACTTTGGGAAGTTGTTGAGTATACTCCTAGGGATATTTCTGGTGAAAAAAGTTTTAATTTCGCAAATGATATATACAAAGAAAAGTCGGAAGCGGTTTGACACCGTTCATCCGATGGCATGGAACTTTAATGAGTTGATGATAATACTCCTAGGGTGATTTCTGTGGGGGTTTGGGGGTGTGTGGAAATTACATTTTCTTAAGGGAGGTGCCCAGGGAGGGTGCGATTTTTCTGAACATACGGTATATAAAAAAGTCACTCAAGATTTGGCACCCAGAGTTCCCAAGCGGCTATCTTAGCACTTGCTATCAGTTCATTGGGCGTCCTGTATAGGAGGTCCGGAATACTACTCGATTCAACGATAAAACTACTCCGCCGGCGTCCGAGCACCCCGGGCTCCCCATGAGCTCTATGGTATCTACGTTCGATGTAAAGAGTGCGATACACTATGGGTACGATGGGCTACTATAGTCGTTGAGCACAATGGCGTCTGCGTTGTTTTATTAAAAAGCATCCAACAAAAGGGACACGGTGGCCAGGGGCGGTACCCGGCGCCCTTTCAGTAGTGTAACCATTGGCTCACGAGAGCACCCTGCAACGTCCCCGAGAGCACCCTGCGACGTCCATGACCCCTGGGAGATTCTACTTCACTATTACTGATAGTGATTAACATACACGCAAGGCTTTCATACAGGACGCCCTGTGGCGTCTAGGTGGTAGTGTGGACAAAACCGCACGCAAGCAACTATGATCCAAGTAATATAGCGCCTGCTTTGTTTAGATGTAACTACAGGATAGGTAACGTGATGATGAAATTCTCTTTAAATATTGCGTCAGCCTTTCATCTGAGACAGCAGCGAAGCGCGGGGATGGGATCGCTAGTGTAATATGTTTTATCCCTTTGCAGAGTTTATATGCAGTGTTGGAAGTGCAGTGTTGCTGATAACGTTAATTTCCCATTGCTGAAGTGCGGGTCAAACGGATCAATAAAATGCCTAAATTTTACCGAGAAATACTGCTTTGTCCAGTGGGTTCCATAACTAATTATATTTAAAGAATTGATGAGTATCTAATGACACCCTAAGATTCTACACGGGGTAGCACCCGACCTATTGCCAATACGCGGTTAAGAGTTATACGTTTATATTTTGAATTAAATTTAGGGTCAGGTTATGGCATCTATCAAGCTACCTTAAGTTTAAAATTGTATTCAGGCTAA